AGAGACATACCAGTGTCTGAACCGATGAGAATTAAAATGACAGGCTGACAATAATGCTGATTGCCATGATGTGCAAGCACAGAACAACAAAGGACTGTCTGAAGAATAGACGGGAAGGAGAAAATGTAGCTTGCTTGTTGCAGTAAATCTGTCGCATCAATCTTTTAAAATATTAATAATAATCTTTGCATTTGATACACCATCTTTCACTAGAGGATATCTCAAAGCGCTTCATAGGATTTAATAACAACAACAAAATTACATTTGTATAGCGCCTTTCACATCAGGAGTACGTGCCAAGGCGCTGGACAATCAATGTTTCGGACACGAGGTGGGGGTTGGGATCAGGGAGGCTGGAGGGCAGAGGGTGAATGGAGAGTGATCGAAGGCACGGTCAAAGAAGAAAGTCTTGAGAAGGGGCTTGCAGGAGGTAAGTGAGGGGCAAAGCAGAGGGACTGTGGGATGGAGATCCAGAGGGTGGAAGCAGAGTGACTGAAGGCAGGTGAGGCAGGCAACGTGAAGCAGGCAGGTGCCTGCTGTGCGGAGGGTGCGGCTACGTTGGTAGGAGGTTAGGAAGTTGCAGAGGTAGGGGGTATAGCAAGGCCATGAAGGGCTTTGAATCTGAGGACCAGGATCTTGAACTGTATCTTCTGTGTGATGGGAAGCCAGTGGAGTCGGGCGAGGATGGGGGTGATAGGGTCGTGGAGCCTGGTGTGGGATAGGACACGGCCTGCAGAGTTCTGGATGATCTGCAGCCTATGGAGGGAGGAGTTGGGGAGGCTGACAAGCAGGGAGTTTGCATAGTCAAGCCTGGATGTTATGAATGCGTGTATGAGGGTCTTGTCGGCCTGTGGTGTGAGACTGTAGTGAAGCCGTGTGATGTTGCGAAGGTGGGGGAAGGCAGAGCTGGTCATGGCATGGATGTGGGGTAGAAAGGATAGTTGATGGTCAAACAAGATGCCAAAGTTCTGGACTGGCTCAATGAGTGGAGTGTGCAAACATGGATGGTGATGCTGTCAGTGCTTGAGGTTGTGGAGGCGCTGATGGGAGCCAATCAGGAGGGTCTTGTTGATGTTCAACTATAGAAAGTTAGCTCTCATCCAGGACTTGATGTCTGACAGACATTCTGTCAGGACAGCAGTGGTCCTGGAGTCGAGGGAGGAGGCAGAGAGATAGAGTTGGGTGTCATCCGCATACATGTGGAAGTTGACCCCATGTCTGTAAAATTCAGTAATTGTCTATTTAGTAAGTGAACATGGCAGCTAATTTGCATTCAACTATGTCCCACAAAAAAGCCATGAATAATTGACCAATTACAGCTGTTGAATGTCGCAATTTCGTTCCTATATTTAATTATTTAACAGGAATCTTTGTTAAGCATTCTGCTCAAATGCCCATCGACTTCCATCGTGGGTCACGTTATAATAATAATAATAATCCTTGCATTTGATATAGCGCTTTTCACGTCTTCTAGACGTCCCAAAGCGTTTCACAGAATATACTGTAAAGTGAATTGACTGTATATTTGTGGGCGAACGCGGCAGCCAATTGCGCACAGCAGTGTCCCACAAACAGTCGTGGATTGAAAATGACCAATTTATTATTGTTTTTGGTTTTGGAGGGATTATTATTAGGCTCTGTGTGGAGTAAGGAAACTTGCCCAAGGTTTCGCCCTCTGCCTGGAATTGAACTCAGGTCTCTCACTTGCAAAGCGAGTGCTCTAACCACTGAGCTGCAGGACTCTACAACAAGAGTGATGTTTCAAGGATAGGGGGCGGATTTTTTCCGCTCTTGGAAGAATTTGAATTTGCAACATCTCAGAATACCAATCAATAATAGGAATATCTTATATATATATATATAGTACCTTGTCGACATTGCAATAATTAACCACAGTAGGTCACAGAGAAAAGCCACGGACAAATGAACCATTCTGTTGACCAGCTGGAATTTGTACTCTGTTACCCATCGTGATTCATCCACATTATATGCTCTTTCTCAACATTCATGTTTTCCTAGTACTCTTGTTCCTTCTAAATTTGTGCATTGGGTTGTTATATCTGGACCAGATGTTTCTGAGACCTACAAATTGACTTGTATTTCAGTCAGATTGTGGGCTCTTACTGGTACTATAATTTTATCCCGAATTCATCATCTGTTATGAATTTGGGATCTAATTATTTTCAATATCGTTTAACCCCTTTTTGAATCTGATTTATTGAAAACCTTAGAAACCTTCTGGTTCCGATATTCGTTGTTCATTAATTAAACTGTGTACGCATAGCCTCATCATGTTCCCACAAGGATTCAATATCTATCTTGTTCCATGCTACATGCCTGCCACAGTTCCTATTCTAGGCCATTCTCCTACATCCTTTTTTTTATGCTTGGAACATTTCCCCTTATTGACTACAGGTGGCCGTGGCTTGTCTAAATCCCTGCCTGCATTTCGCAGAATAAAATCGCGCATGATCTCCTGAACCATTGCGGAGTACAGTTTTTCACATACCGGGCTACATAAACATTTAGGAAGAGATACCTCAAAAAATAATAGTACATAGATTAAACATTCCAGCTGGTCAACAGAATGGTTTATTTCTCTGTGTCCTACTGTGTGGTTAACCGTTGCAGTGCCGACACACCTTACATATGAAAATAAACATCTTGAAGCTCTTTACAAACTAGGATTAGAAAATGATATACGGGTAAACACAGCAGCTAATTTGTGCCAGCATATCCCAACAAGTTGAGCAACTGATTAATTTAAATTCGGGGGTAAATTTGGATTAGAAAGGAAATAAACACCGGCACTAACTACCGAATGGCCCATTTCTGTGCTGTAGCGTTCTATGTAATTCTATGTAAGCATTATATTTTGAGTACATTTGTCACCCAAATTTATTGACACAGCACTCACTGACTGAGTTCTGTTGAAGGTTCATGACCGAAATTTCAACTTGGTTTCCCTTGGTTTTTTTAAATGCTGGTCGACCTGCTGTGGATTTCCAGCATTTTCAGATTTCCAGAATCTGCAGTTTTCGTTTTTTTTATATCGCCAATCAGTGGGAGGTTGCTCCAGTCACAGAGACGAGACTCACCAAGTTATTCACCAGTTAAGCTGTGACATTTCAATATGTATTACATTATATTCTTAAAGAAGAGGGAGTTTCTCTCAGTTTCCTGGCGGACAATCCCCAATAAAAATTCATCATTCTCTTCACAGCTAAATTTGTGAGACACCATTGTGTGCAAATTGGCTGCCGTGTTTGCTTACAAAATACATTTTACAGTAAATCCTTTGAAGTGTTTTTCGGATGTCTTCCTGACATGAAACTCACCATATCAAATTAATTGGCGAGTTCAATACTTTGCCTGCTCTCCCTCTGCTCATCGCACATTGTGTTCAAAAGCATTTTCAGATATTCTGCAAGCTGATGCGTGAAATGGCGTCTGCTACAAAATATATCATTGAACATCAGGGACTAGACTGTATGTGGATCAGCAGCTGGCTTGTTACTCACCCTGTGCAAAACAGAATGAGGCAACAACAGCTCGGAAAATAGTACCTTTATATTGTAATCCCAGTATTATACTGTTGTTTTGGGATGAATCTTGTTCAAAACAAGAGCACCCTCTGCTGTCAGATCTGTTGCAGTGAGCAACTAGAGACAGCTTTGTGGTAAACCTTAAAATTGTCCCTTTGATTATACAAACCAAAGAATAATGCTAACCAAAGGAGCTATTGTGCATTTTTATACATTTAACATTTATAATTTGCATTTAATGTATTAAAAGCGAACCACCCACATTCATTAATCTTTAAAAAATAATAAATTAAGGTCTGATTCTTTCTAAAATCTAACCAGTTTGTGAAGCAGCTGAATTACATATTCTGAAATATTATCACTACAAAACAGGAACCTGGACTGATCCCTACTCAGAACTGAAATCTGCATGTGTATGGGAATTGAGTGAGGACAGGATTGGTTTGGGCTAATGCCCCTCCCCATTGTTGAGCAGTCTGCTGACACTTACTGTCTAGACTTACACATGAAGTATAGCTGTTTACTGTCACTCATTGGATCAGCATAAGTCACTGACTTCGGGGCAAAAAAGGAACAAAACATACACCTTCAGAGTTACATCTGTCTCATGCCAATGGCAATTTGACTAAAGGCCAATACAAACAGACAAGAAGTTTTCAACCATATTATTTCCACATCTGCTAACATATTGTATCTCTTCTGACAATTGGTGTCAGTCCTTTGTTCCATTGGCTTTTGCCTACAAATTGCACTGTCACTGCATGTTGCAATAAGTCCTGTTAAGCAATTTGAGACATCCTCCTGAAGTGAAAGGTGTGTATTAAATGCAATGAATAATTATTGCAAGTATGTTAATTAAACTCCAAAATATTGACACGGGGCAAGTCTGCAATTCCTACAAAAACAAGTAGATTCAGACTCGCCTCGCAAGCAAAGACCTGGGTTTGATTCCCGGGAGGGCGAAATGTTAGGCAAGTTTTCTTACTCCATATGCCTCTATTTATCTAGCAGGAAGTAGCCACCCGGTTGTTAGTCGATCTGCAGATCTCTTTTCCAGAGGTAATAATCCCTTCATAAACAATTAATAGAAAAATGATGATTTTGTCACTCAATCTATAACTGTTTGTGGGACACTGCTGTGTGCAATTGGCTGCTGCGATTCGCCCAAAAATATACACTCAATTCACTTTATGGTATATTCTTTGAAGTGCTTTGAGATGTCTCGAATACACGATAGGGCGCTATATCAGATGCAAGAATTATTATTATTAATAACAGATGGTTGCATTTCTCAGGAAATCATTCAACACAGAAGGCAGGCAGTCACTTGGCCCATTGTGCCTGTGCTGGCTTTCTGTCAGAGTGAGTTTAGTTTCACTTCCCTGTCTTTCTCAAAGACGTGATGAGACGCTATATTTAAATGCAAGGATTATTATTCTCCAGATCTTTTTAGAATCCAGTTTTAAAAATTTGATTTTATTGAAACATCAATGCATTTGTATTAAAACATCAATACTTTTGTATACATTTGAGGTGAAAGATTTTATATTGTAGCAGAACTGAGAAAACAAATGTAAATAATTTGTCTTCCTGCTCCCACATGAGACACAAGGAATACTAGAGTTTAGTGTTCATTTAATATTAAATTAATATTAAATGAACATTACACAACAGTGAGAATAACCCTCTCCCGTTTCTTTCTTTTCCTCTTCTTCTCATTGAATTGCTCGGTTGCATCAGCAAAGAAAGTCACATCTTCTTTGGCTTCTATCTCCCTCTGTAGAAACTGAAGTCCTGCCAAATTGAAGCCCATTACATCCTGCCAAGGAACAGAAAGAGAAAATAAAAAAAAGTGAATCATATTTTCAACCTGTGCCATAATTTATAGCATATGAAGTACAATTTAGATTTTCAGAAGGTATTTGATAAGGAGCCACATAAGAGATCATTAGCTAAACTTAAAGAACATAAAAATGAAGACATCATTGTGACTTTGAAGGAGGCAAAAGAATTGGCCTAAATGTGACATTCTCTGATTGCCGGAGAGTGATTAACTGGGATTGGTGCTTGGGCCCTAGGTTTTCACACCACAAAGAAACGACTGGCTTATAGGAATAGAATTTCCAAATATGCTGATGCTAATAACCTAGAATGCATCATAACTTTTGAGGAGGACGACAGAAAACTGCAAAGGGACTGATATAGATTAAGTGAGTGGGTAAAACAATGGTAGATCATGTTTAACAAAACTATGTGTGAGCTTGGTAAAGTTTGGACGAAAAAATTATGGATGGTAATGCATTCTAAATGGTGAAGGACTAGAGGCTGTAGATAAGCAAAGGGATTGACTTAGGGGTCCAAGCACATAAATTGTAAAAATCTGTTTTGCGAGTAGAGAAAGCAGTTAATGAGGCTAATGGGATGCTGAGTTTTAGAACATGGGGAATGGAGGCAAGTAAGTGCTGCTGCATAGATCACTGATGGACAGGTTATGTCTGATCAAGTTAAAGGATGATCTGGCTGAAATAGCTAAAGAGGTTAACAAGCAAGATAGTGCATGACTGTTCCCTTTGGTAGAGAGAGATCCAAAGCAAGGGACATCATCTTAAAATCAAAACTAAACTGTTAGAAGAAATAAAACACATTTCTTCACACAGATGGTTGTGAGAATGTCATTGCACCGCACTGTTAGAAGGTCATAGAGGCAGAATGAATTGCCTGCTTAAAAATAAGATAGACAGGGGATTATGGGCGATAAGGAATAATCCAATAATCCAATAATCTAGTACAGCAGACTGACAGTCAACAGGTTGATTGCCCTCTTCCTATGTTAGAAATTTATGTGCAGAACGGTCACTTAGCACCACAACAACACTGGCATTTATGTAGCGCCCTTCATGCGGGGTAGTCTTGGAGCATCACCACAGCTAATGGAGTGAAACATGTTATGAGCAGCCTCTTTCTAACAAAAGCTAACGCTGGAAATGCTTTACATTTTCGTTTTTTATTTCCTATTTCCAGCATTTCCAATTATCCTTTATACATAATTTATAAAATGTTGTCTTTCGTATTGTGAATTTTTGTGTTGCTCCCAAAACAGTGTAATAAAGGCATCCACTAAACCAGTCAAAAAACAAACCAATACAACAGTTTCACTTATGAAATCAGTATATTTGATGGTTGAAATGTGGAGTTAGACAACTGAGGACTTTGTTGACTAAACATTCTGCTGTTAATAAGCTTGGTATAAACCACAATCATACCCTCATAGCATTGATCTTTCCGATTGTATTTTGTCTCAAGCTGTCCATTACTGTTAGGAGCATCTGATTACCAGTGATCTGTCCAAAATGAATCCTACAGAAACGAATAAAAATAATAATCACATCAGACACACATTTTAGTTAGAGCAACTACAGTCTAGAAGTAGGTTTGTCCCAAGTACTTCTGGAAATAATAGACAATACCATCCTTATAAAATGCTCCTCTACATAAAAAGAAAAGTTCTTTCTTGAAGACCTTCCCCTGGACGTACCCTCTACTTGGCCCTCGTCATGTTTGTTTAACAGGACAAGCAAGAGTGGTGCTATTGATTGATGTAAACGGGCTCTTTAAACTGGACTGAGATTTAATCTGGAGCCATGTGATCCCAGGAAAGTGCAGAAATCGTGAGTATAAAGCAATAAATTGCTAGTACTCAGATTTCCCTCGGGTCGGTGCTTTTAGTTCAGCTTTTTTGATCCACCAATATACAGTCAATTCACTTTACAGTATATTCAGTGAAGCGCTTTGAGACGTCTAGAAGACATGAAAAGCGCTATATCAAATGCAAGGATTATTATTATTATTATTACCAAGATGACAAAGGTTTTATTTCTTCTTTTTCACAAGAGATTCAGATGAAGAAAATCCTTCAGCTCATTTCATCCCATTACAGAAACAAGCTATTTCTTAAATGAGTTCAGTATCCTGACTTCAATCTCCCTTCCTGATAACCCATGTTTAGCAGTGGGTTTAAAGAAATATTGCTATAACATTGCCCCCCAAACAAGCCTGAATTTGTGGTTGTTAGTCCTGCTGTCTTGGAAAAAAAACAGACTTTAGTTCCCCTTTAAAATACTAAACTTAAAATAGTGTGACTCACAATGCAAAATAGGGCCAGGGTGTAGAAAACTCCCTTCTCTTTTCCAACAACATCACAGAAAATTAACATCCACCCGAAGAACAGGTAAATAGAATCTTGGTTTAACATCTAATACGAAGGACAGTACCTCCAACAATGTAACATTGCACTGGAGTGCCAGCCTAGGCTGAGCTTAAGGTTTCAACGTTAAGGTTTCAACTTTCTGACCCAGAGGCGAAAGTATTATCGCTTGAGCCAGGCTGACACCAAGGATTTTTTCCCTACCGCCAAATGTGGAGGAGTGTGAGAGGGTTAAACTTGGGGAATAATGCAAAGTGTTCTCATTCCAAACACCTACCTGAGCAGGAAAAAAAGACATCGGCAAATGAGTTCAACTTCTAGAGAATGCTGGATGTACTCATTGAACAGAGTGAGCAGATCAGGAGTGTAGGAAAATGGAAGGACAAGCAGTGATTCTTCTAGCTCACTGGAAAAAGATCCCAATAGAAAAAAAACATTAAAATCTTCACATTCTAAACATTTCTTTCTGTATTTCCTTTACCCTTAAGGAATATTTAACCTCCCTCAGACTAAACTGCTGAGGAGCAGATGCCAACATCTGCATTTTAACAGTGTCTCGTGTTGGCAAAGCATCTCAGTCATTTGGAAATTACAATTCTCAACCTCAGAAATATCACACAATTATATTCCTTCCCGCACTCCCCCGTCCCCAACGACTTGGAAAACATCACACGATTGGATTGATAACCCCCATCCCTCCTATCATCCAAGATATTCACAGGACAATGTGACTCTCTTAATAATTGGTTATTATTAATTCATTATTAAGAGTCATTACTGTTGTAACTGGACAGAAAAGACCTATCCTGGATTCAAGAAGGCCAGATGCCAGGGAATATCAATTAATATAAAGAATCTAAAGAGATCATCAAGAGCTTTGTGTTGACGAAAGAAATGAAAGCAGACCAATTACTACTCACCTTGATTTGACTTTTCGAATGACATCCAAGACATATCGAGATGGCTGGGGGACAAAGTGGAAAAAAAATATTTTTTTCATGTATAAAAACAAATAAAATGATTCACCAAGTTCTAAAATACAAAAACAACAGTTTCAGCATCCTGTAAAAGAAGAGGTTTGAAAAAAAATGGATCTTGATACTACTTACTGATATGTTTCCGTATGCAGTCAGTATGGGGTTAGTAGGAGGAGGCAGCTGCNAAAAAAAGAAAGAAATTATCTTCTAATTTATCTCGTTGTCAGCACTGCAGTGGCTTAGTGCAAGGAAGTCCTGTTGGCTGCTAAACTGGGGATGTTAGAACAAGATATCCATTAGTAACATAACACCAGAATAAATCCTTCCCTATTTGTGATTTGAGGCTGCAATAGCCCCTGCAGCTTAGTTTTTGTCCCTTGAGAAGCTACTTAATTTGAAGTATCTGGAGTGCCAAAAAGTACTTCAGGAAACAAAGTGGTACTAGAATCTATTTTTGAATGTCTATTGTAAGGCGAACATTTCTTCCACATTGCAGCATAATGTGTTCTGTTAAGGGTCACATCCAAAATGTTAGCTTGGCATTCTCTTGACTTCTACCATTTACAACAACAAAACAACAATGAGCATTTATTTACAGATTTTTGTATTTCATGCTTCCCGGAGGGATACAGCCTGCTTACCTAGTTCTGGAGAGCATTGCAATACAAATTTAAATAGCACCTTTCATGTCAACTGGCTTGGCACCGGGGCTGAGGGTGGGCGTTGAGGGTTTATTAGTGCGCAGGATGGCAAGATCCAAGGTTTGGACCCCAGAGTGCGTATTGTGGTACTCCTGGAGTTTAACCAACTTGATTCAGAAACCACTATCTGAGACATTGATTGGCCTATTATTAACTAGAGGGTAGAAATGACACCGAGTAACATAACATTTAGCTTTCTCACACATCCTTCGCCTCACTCCCTTCCTTGCCTCCCTTCCCAATCCCGACCCCTGCTCGGCTCCAAATCTCTGACTGTCCAGTGCCTTTGGGACGTCCTCCCAGCGTGAAAGACGCTACACAAATGTAATTTTGTATTGTAAATTGAAATTTATAGTGTCTCCCACACAATTGTATTTAAATTACATGAATGAGGCACAACTTGTTTTCTGGCCTGTAATAACCATACGAAAACAATAACCAGTGACTCAATCCTGACAATATTTGATCCTGTAACAAGAGTTATTTAACATGCACGTTACAAGTTTGTAAAAATGATTGGATGCCTCAGCAGTAAATGGGTCATCATGATGGAGAACATCTCACCTCTTTTCCAGCACGTTTGCAAGCTTCTCTGTGCTCCTCCAATTTTGTTGTCTCTTCCCGATACAGCTCAATCGCTTCCATGATGCGCTCCGTCTGACGAGAGTAAAAGTTGACAGATCAATGTGATGTACTCCAGCAGATCCCCAAACCCCACCATCTCTAACAGCTTGTTCATTCTGCGATCAATCGTTCAGTATTAAATAATAATAAGTATTAAATACTTACAGCTTTAACAGTTTCGATTGTCTTCTTTCCGGCCAAGCCTGCCTCCCCCTCTTGCTCTCCGGGCACCTGGAAGATGAAGGATAATTTGTCAGTAAGAATGGGTTTTGTACTCCAGCCTCGTAACAATATGCCATCTCCTAACCCATGTTCCACCATTGGTGGCTGTCACTTCACTTGATACTCCCACAACAACAACAGCACGTATTTATATAGGGTCATTCACGTAGGATAGCGCCTCGGAGTGCTGTGACTTTAGGTACTACAGCACCGCTCTCTGGAACACTATTGGGAATTTTTAGTTTCCCCAAGTCATACATATCCGACTCTATCCCAATTACTGGAAAAATATGTCCAAATGATATAGAAAAGCAGACTCACCACAGGTCCACTCTCCTTTGCCACACTCTCTTCATATTCTGCTTCTCTTTGCTGTGGAGACATAAAATTCATCAGTGCTTATTGCAAACACTGCAAATATTCTAAGCAGAGGGAATACCACCTAGAGAACTGATCAGCTCCATTTTCCCTGCAGTTTACATGCAAAACTAATAAGGACTGCCTCAAATTCTGCATTAATTGTTGGGGAACAAAATTCAAAGCCAGTGAAAATTAATCGGTGTGAAAGCATAGGAACAGCTTTTGTACCTAGACATACAAAACAGGACTGTGCAATAAGGCAAGGTGGAATTATATAGTAAATCAGTAATTCACCCAAGCTGAGGTAAGAGAATCAAAGCAGCAGCAACACATTCACTGCATCAATAGAAATTTACAGCCTGTTTTGTGCTGCCACGACGATAACATTTAGTTAGGTGATACAATTGGATAACATTTAGTTCGGTGATCCAACTCTGACAACACTAGATAATTGAATATCCAGGATTTCCAATATCTTTTCATTTGAGTAGTGAAAGTGTGTATAGCTCACACCCTCATCCTAGACTCTATTAATGAAGTCTATCCAGCATAAAAACTACATTCCCATCTTTTCAAATGATCTAAAACTGTCTCATTCACTAGTTTTCACATCTCTGTTGGAGGTGGGGGGGGGGGAAGATATGGAGTCACTTGAGTCATTTATCTGGTTGGGTACAGGTTGGTAACTTTATAACCTTCATTTGAAATGTGTTGTTCATTCACGTTTTATATTTAGATCATTACTCCCAACCGCTAGTAGACAGCCAGACGTACTGCTCCTTTTGTCAGTGCTGCCTTTGACTGACCGACCCAAAGGCAGCCTGGAGAATGCATCCTTGGTTTCACCTTCTTCCTTTCGCTTGGCTTTCACTTTGTGCCCTTCACCAGCTAAGATCAAGAACATGCCTGTACAGATCAACATGTTACCCACCCCCCCATCTTATCAGCACAATGCTTTGATATATCGCTGTACTTTGCAACCTGTCTGCTCCTACCCCTTAGTAAATATTTGAGAAACTGATATAACTGCCATTCGCACTCCAAATAAGAGTTATACCTAACTTACCATTTCTCGCTCTTCCTCCAGGATGATTGTCTCTCTAGTTCGCTCCCACAATCGTAGAGATTTATCATGTGCGGAAGAAACCACATGATCTCCATTGGGACTGATGGCCAGACACCAGACTTCTCCATGATGTCCCTGGTGGAGAACAAAACAACATAAAAGACCCGGCCCTTGGGTGTATAAGAACCCAGCAGCAGTCCAAATCTCATGCTGTGCTTGTTCCACTTAAGAAATTTCTTTTCCACTTGCCAGAAATATACACTGATGTGCATGTAGCAAGCTGCGGTTTTAAAGTAATTTATGTGGAAATACTGTCCTACATTAATATTAATGAGACAGTATAATATACTTTAAAAGCTTTCAGTTTTGTTTCTGCACTGGCAGAGAGACAAGGACAGACAGGACGATTCATAATTTCAAACTATGACTACATTAACTAGCTCATGTCACTTTAAGCTAAGGTCCCACTTACTTCCAGTGTCTGGATGTGTTCAAACTTGTCAGCATCCCACTGTTTGACTTTCCGATCTTTCCCAGCAGTGAAGAAGAGGTGGGTTTTTGCTACAAACCGCAAACACATTACACTGCAAAGAACACAGATCAGAAAAAAAAGTGCACGTTGTTTAGATCATGACTTGTTTTAAGGTGGTCTAACATATCCACTGCTTCCTCTAGACATTTACGCAAATTATACTTTTAGCAATAACATAGCAATTTCTCTATGGCAGTTAGTGTCAGAGGTGATGGAGAACCTCTGATCCATTAAATGGTCCAATGTCCCAGTGTTGACCATCACTGTAGTATGTAGAATCGAGATTGGTCAGGTCTAGTGGAGGCCAGTACAAACTGTTACACATAAGGTGCCAGCAGAGGGCAGACACCCTGAGCTGAACCTATACAGGTAGAGTTGCTGAGCTGGGATGTCCATGCACTGATTGTACATGTGTGGGTTTCAGTGTACAACTACATCAGTGGTGTGGGGAATGCGGTGCTTTCAAAGAAACAGACAATTTCAGCACAGAGGGAGCTAACCAATCCATCGTGTAGATGTTTCTACTAATTATTTTTCTAATGTTACCCCTTTTTACTTTATCCAAATACACCCCAGACTAAATAAATGAATAGGTAACACAAAAGAAACAAATAAATCAGAAGTACAACACACCACAGGTTGAAAAATGCAAATCAGGTGCCAAAATATTTCTTGACACAAAAAAAACGCTAGTTTTCTTAGAAACAATTCTGTTTTATTCTAAACTATACCCTCAAACAGACAATGCAGAGCATCAATTGTTGCACATCACATTTTTACTTATGCAAGAGATCAAATAGAATTACAAATCACCGTTCTTATCTCTATGGAACAAACCGGTGCTCTGACATCTTGTTGGGTACCAAGTGCGACAGATGGTTTGTAAATTAACATGTACCTGTCATCATGAGCGAAGAGAGACTTGTGACAATCACCGAATTCTAATCCCCAGATCTTCACGTTCCTGTCAGCTGAACCAGTTGCTATCAGTGTGCTGTCCTACACATGCAGAGATCAGAGTGGCATGAAAAACAAGAAAACAGATGTCTAGAAATGGCATATTTATTATTAACTGGGTAGCAATTGACATGCTTTCACAACTTAATGCTGTACTACTAATCTGAAATGCAATGCATATAGCCACAAGAATAATTATATGGTCTCAGGGAATAAATTATTATGCCCACGGTATATTTGATTAAGAGTAAGTGAATGAAGGCTCTATTAAATGAACTCAATGAAATGAAGCAATCCAAAATTTGGACAATTCTTAAATGCAGCCTTAAATTTTGAAGACTGTTTTTTTTCTATTAAGTTCTTTTAAAAACTATAGAAAACCAACTTCAAGGTTAAAACCTAATTCAACAATTTGCCATTTTAATCCGTGGCCATTTTAAGAACTTAACAGTTTCTACAATGTACACCAAGAACGAAGAATACTTACATACGATATATCCATACAGAGAACGGGCAACTTATGTCCATACAGAGACAGGAAAAACTGCGGAGGAAGAATTAAACAAGGAGAATTGTAAGAAGTCACAGATTTTCATTTTCTTATGGAAAATCACAAAATGTAACTTTTGTTGAAATCTTTTAATTATTTCAGCACCAGTGAAGAAATAATAACCAAAGGAAATTTAATTTGCTTATTAGATTAGAACCCCTCCAATCCGGCTTCCACGCTGCCCAAAACACGGAAACAGCCCTGGTCAAAGTCACTAATGACATTCTGAACATCTGTGATCAGGGCTCCCTCTGCCTCCTTGTCCTCCTCAACCTCTCTGCCACCTTCGACACTGTCAACCACTCCATCCTCATACACCGCCTCTCCTCTACTTAATCTTCGCGGACCTGCCGTTGCCTGGTTCGATTCCTATCTCTCTCACTGTCTCCACTTCGTTGCCTCTAACGGTTTCTCCTCCAGCCCCCGCACTGTCACATCTGGCATCCCCCAGGGCTCTGTCCTTGGCCCTCTCCTCTTTAATATCTACGTGCTCCCCCTTGGTGACATCATCCGCAGACATGGGGTCAACTTCCACATGTATGTGGATGACACCCAACTCTATCTTTATGCCTCCACCCTCAACTCCAGGACCACTGCTGTCTTGACAGACTGCCCGTCAGAAATCAAGTACTGGATGAGGGCTAATTTCCTACAGTTGAATGTGAACAAGACTGAGGCCCTTCTAATTGGCTCACGCCAGCGCCTCAGCACCTCAGGCTCTGACACCATCACCTCCATGGTTGCACACTACAACTCACCGCCAGTCAGGGACCTAGGTATCTTGATCGACCCTCAACTGTCTTTTCTCCCACACATTCAAGCCATGACCCGCTCTGCCTTCCCTCATCTCTGTAACATCGCCCGAGTCCGCCACTACCTCACCCCTCAGGCCGCTGAAACTCTTGTTCATGCCTTCATCACCTCCAGGCTTGACTTTGCAAAGGCTTGTCGGCCTTCCCAACTCCTCCCTCTACAGGCTGCAGATAATCCAGAACTCTGCAGCCCATGTCCTCTCCTGCACCAAACTCAGTGACCCCATCTTCCCTCCTCTCGCCCGACTCCATTGGCTCGCTCTCCTTCAGAGGATCCAGTTCAAGTTCCTGGTTCTCACATATAAAGCCCTCCATGGTCTCGCCCCACTCTACCTCTGCGACCTCCTAACCCCCTACCCACCCATCCGTTCCCTCCGCTCAGCCGGCTCTGGCCTGCTCCACGGCCCCCCACCCACCCGACCCCACCATTGGCGGGAAAGCCTTCAGCCACTCTGCCCCCAACCTTTGGAATTCCATCCCCCAGTCACTCCGCCTCACCCCCTCCTTAGCCTCCTTTAAGTCCCACCTCAAGACCCTCCTCTTCGACCATGCCATCGGCCACCCCCCTTCCCTTCCCCTCCCCCTTAGCCCCCCAACCCCAGCTCAGGTCTGAAATGCTATACTCTGTCCAGTGCCTTGTGACGTCCTCCCGACGTGAAAGGCGCTATACAAATGTAATCTTGTTGTTGTTGTCAGGCTTACAAAACTCTGGCTACATTTGCAAATATTTTTCAACATTGTCCTGGTCTCAACTGAAAACCACACACCCAAACTTTTCTGTAGGAAGTAGTTCGAAGGTGAGTTGAAGTCCTGGTTGAATTTCTTCCACCTAGCCTAGGGGCATTGAGGCCAATTGTAGAATCCTGAACAGAACCTTGATTGAGATCAGCCAACGCAACACAGGAATTAAATGTACAACCACATGTATCAATGGTTGGTTGCTGTCAAGTGCAGTTTCCTACTTAGAGATTCTTTTGCAACCAGCATTTCTCCAAGTCCTGTTAAATGTCTCCAACAATCAATTACCTTGAGTGTGTCCGTGTAGAATATTTTAACTGTACAATCGAGCAGTGATACTGCCAGCATTCTCTGATTGGGGCTGTAGCTCACACACAAGATATCGTCATCCAGCTGCAGGCTTCGGATGTGGTTCAAAGAGAGCCTGCCAGCAGGGGAAGAACAATAATGAAGAAGTCAGCATTAACAATAAAAGGAGAAATAGGAGAAATTATATACCCGACGAATGGGGAGGAACTCCATATGGGTCTAGATTCATTCTACTTATTTAGCACTTTGAAGTACTTTAATCCCTATTCTGTGCTCAGTTTGGGGCTCCAATAAGGGCACTACAATGTCCCTCAGTGTCCCGAATTAGGCAAGAGAAAATTAGTCAGGCTTCTTGCTTCTGATTTCTATTCAGTTGCCTAAAAGTACATGTATTGAGCCTCAGGTTCCAAAATTTCTCATGTTTTTAAGCTTGGGACCACATCTTAAAATTTAAGATAGTGCTGAATTTTGAAAAACAGTCTTAAATTCGCTCTTAAGTTTGCGGTTGATTTTCCGCAAACATGATTGGGATTGGTCAACTACTCTGTCGCACAAATCCAAAATGAACATTGACTACTTGGGCAAAGTACTGGAGGGAGTCTGATGTCTATGGAAGGAAACAGGATGAGGGGGAGAGAAAATTTTTAAACAAACATAATAGGGACTTTGCAGTTATAATGAAACCCAAAGTTTCAAAATGTTGACTTAAAAGTGTTCCTTTCAGCTCTCTCTCGCCTGTTCAAAGCTCACCTTTTCTGGGAAGACTCTTCATCCTTCACCAACTCAAACTCCCAAAATTTCACCACCTTATCAGCACTTCCAGTAACAAATCCACGCTGGAAGAAAGAGGACAGACATTACTCCCAAGGGCAAAACTGCTCTCACGCATCTGGCTTTGTTAGCAAGGATAAGCCCACCTCACTCACAGGTGCCATACAGATGGGCATCTTGAGAAGTCTGAACTTCACTTGAAATGTGCCGAGTTAAGAGTAGTCATTGGATTCAAACAAGAAGCACCTCATGCTCATAAATGTATTACTTTTGATGCAGCAGCAAATCCATGAAAGCAGCAGTCACCTTGCTTTAATATTGGAGCTGAAAAAGGGCTTGAATGGTGCAGCACTTGAAAAAGCACCTGCATTTAATATAGCGCCTTTCACGTCAGGAACACATCTGAAAGCACGTCACACGATTTCCTGTAAACTGTAGGAATTGTGTTTTTAATTCTGGTGTTGGTATATTTGCAAAGTCTTTGTAGAGGGGCTATTGGACTTTATTAATAATACTTTCATATGGTATATTATCTTTCATGTAGATAGGGCATCGCAAAGCACATCATAGGATTTGCAGCATATGGGGATGGGTAATACAGTTAAGTATCTACAGGCTTCACTACAAATTAATTAACTGAAGTTTGATCCTTTGCCTTACCTGGTCTGGTGCCAGTGATATGGACCACACTGCTCCTTTGTGGGCATCAATGGTTTCCAACAAACGCCCTGAAGCCAAATCAAAGAGCTGCAGTTTCCCAGACTAGAGGAAAGAAAACCACAAGGAAATTAAAAAAACTCTGTGGGGAGTTTCTGAATACTGTTATCTGGCAGGTTTGTCGAGAGAAAGGGCAACGCTACCTTAACAACAAAACCACCATGACTTTCTTCGCCCCATTGAATTGGAACCTTAGATCTAACACAATTAATCAAAGTGATAAGAACGGCAACTACATTAACTATCCTTTGTATTCCACTATTTGTGTTTTGTTCTTACTTCAACTATATTGTCAAGCGTAGAATGTTTCAGCACCAGATACCAATGTAGCACTGAAATGGCAAGAAAATAGGGTTCTCTATGGTTGTTATCCATTGACCTTTGATTTATTCCAATTATCATAATTCTTGCAGTTTGTTATCATTACAACAGTTGAAATATGTACAAACACTATTTACTGTGGGCTGTAAATGTTGCAAAATACTATCTCCCTTACCTTAGTTCCTATAATTATTTGCCTGTCTCCAGGAACAAAGAGAGAGCAGAGAGCGTATTCACATTCCATGGTCCTAATACACTGTAGAGTGGACCTGTGAGATAGCAAAACTACATCTGTCAGAGTTTCACAAGGAATAATAGACCTAATAACAACAACCTGTATTTATACAGCAAATCTCCCACTGAGAACACAATAGGTGAGGAGTTAAATACACATCCATGTAGGTCTGACCTAAGCAAATCATTAACAAACCGCAACCTGTTCATCAACTAACCCCAATCCTAATATACCCAATCCTACTGCATTTATGTTTGGCTACAAGTAACTGTTTTGTATGGTGCAATTGATTGCTTAGAAGATGAATTTACCATATTGGCTCACCTAGATTCAGAGGCCGAAATTGTTTTATTTTCCCTATTACAGTAAAACACCACATATCTTGCATGGCACTCAAATCCAGTACTGTGAGATGGCAGCAAAAAATTTTTTTTGCACGTGTGCAAGGGTACGGAAACCCCAAGTTACTTGCACAGCAGTGTGAAGAGCTCAACAATCTATTACAGGTACAGTATAGGGTTAGAGTCACACAACAAGATAGAGAAAGTCAGATACAGAGCAAGAGACAAAGACTGAGAAAGTCATTGAGACAGAGATAGAAAGTTTGAAGGTCTGAAAGAGCGCTGAGTTAGAGAGAAGGGCTGGCACAGAGTGATACTGTAGAGACACAGTACGATTCCTGTTGTTAAAAAGTTTGGACGGCACTTTAGCCAATTTGGATTTTGCATGATGACCAATTGTGCACATGGTTTCCTTATCCACATGGGGATGGTGCCAATCGGTGAGATTAATTGTTTCTCTCCTCTACTTGTGTTTCGAGTTACCTAACTAAAGTATTTTGGTAATCTGCCATTGGAATATTCACCTGTACTGAATCATCCCAAGAGCCTTGGGACATCCTCCCAATGTGAAAAGTGTAATATAAATGTTTTATTGTATCCCTACATTCACATAGTAAACAGCTCAAACCTGTTCCATATCTTTATTGTCTCAGCTGATGCAGAGAGTATCGCAATGTTGTCCGAACTGAAAGCAAGGGTTCTACTGTCGGTCCGGTGACCTGCAAGAGTTATCCTGGCTGTCTTTGTGCACTCTGGTAACTTCACTGTATGATTCAGCGTGTAGGCCTCAACTGTGTTGTTCTGTAGCAGCATCACAACCTTCAGCTCCCCATTTGATGCCAACAGAGAGTCAAACGATCTAATAAAATAAAGTGAATCAATGGCTCAATGCATTTTCTCCAGTAATCTGTTGTGCAGGTAACCGCAGACTGACCACAAATTTTACCTGATTTTTGCCGAGGCTTTAATATTGGTGATTCGCTCAAGCTCATCCTCTAGGCTTTGTTGCACAGCAATCTCCAAGTCTGTATCAGCTTCGCCTGACTCGGCCCTTTTTCTGTTGAATAATGCATTCCATTTCAGTAAATACACTAGAATATAATATGATTCTACATGCAAACAAAATCCGGCTTATCCATTTGATCGAATACTTTAAAGTGCATATTATTGAAACCAAAATTTTAAGACAGGATTTTTTCTGTACCCATACTCAGGTGAACATAGAGGACAATACCACTAGATGTGGTATTTTCTGTGACAATAGAGTCAATTGAGGTGACGGATACCCTGATATGGTAGTATAACAGGTTTCACGTCCTCCCGACGTGAAAAGCGCTATATCAAATGCAAGGATTATTATTATTATTATTATTATGCTTTAAATCGTTGCAGTCCAACCAGAAAGGTCACATTATAAGCTTGTCCGCTGCAGAGCAGACTTTATAAATGATTCAGGCCAGTAGGTTGCTATAGATACCCACCAGCTTAAGCTAAGTACTATTGTATTTTGTTGTTGAATCTGTTGAAGTCAATTTTCTCCAAATTGTTTCTATATCTGCAGGACCATGAGCCATTTCAAACACTGGTCCAATCTTTTCAACAAGATCACTCCCCAAATGGCACCAACAAGGTCTGGAGTCTCTCAAAAAGTTATCAAAAAGGCTAATGGGATGGCCTTTATCTAAAAGGGGCTGGAATATAAAGGAGAGGAAATGATGCTTCAGTTACATAGAGCCTTGGTCAGACCCCATCTGGAGTACCTCATTCAGATTTGGGCACCACACCTCAGGAAGGATATATTGGTTCTGGAAGGAGTGCAGCGCAGATTCACCAGAATGATACCAGGGCTAAAACGGTTAAATTATGAAGACAGGTTGCGTAAACTTGGTATCTATTCTCTTGAGTTTAGAAGGTTGAAGGGTGATCTGATTGAGGTTTTTAAAATAATAAAGGGATTTGATACGGTGGATACAGAGAAACTATCTCCTCTGGTGGGGGAATCCAGAACAAGGGGACATAATCTTAAAATTAGAGCAGGGCCATTTAGGAGTGAAATTAGGAGACAGTTTTTCACCCAAAGGGTAGTGGAAATCTGGAAGTCTCTCCCAGGAAAGGTTGTGGATACTGGATCCATTCACATTTTCAAGACTGAGGTAGATAGATATTTGTTAGGTCAGGGTATTAAGGGAAATGTTGTGCAGGTAATTGGACTTGAGGTACAGATCAGCCATCTTATAGAATGGCAGAACAGGCTTGAGGGGCTGAATGGCCTACGCCTGTTTCTATGTATGAGAAATCATAGCCCTGAGTCCATGTCCCGCAACTGCATAAGTTCACTCACTTTGCCCTTTTCTTCACTTTCTTTTGCTTTTTTTCAATCCTTTTTTTGACTTCCTCTTCGCTGAGGGCCATGAAAACCTCAAGCACATTATCTGTACCCTACAAGCAAATGTAACATTTGTATGATTCACAAGAAAGGCTAGATCTCAAATGTACAGTTTTACTCCACGTTAAATTGGAACATTTTATTATTTAAAATCTTAACCTTGCTAGCATAGATGGAAACATGAAATCTGCAGCAGACAGCAACACCTGCAAAACACCTGTAATTTCAGCTGTAATGGTTATTGAGTAACCATTTTAAAGGACAGTTTTTAAAAGAGAGCACGGAAAGCAGGCCACAATTGCTATAAATAGCACTTGTTTTGGGAGAAATTCCACCTGGGGAAAGATTTACTCTATTTTCTTAGCATTTCAGAGCATTAGATTTCCCAAATTGTTGAACCCAGTCTCAAATGAAGCTGGTTTTCTGTTCTTAAAATAATAAAACTAGATCCAGGTAGAATTTCTCCCCCATGCTGGATAATATTTAAATTAGAACTTCTTCAATCAGACTAAACAGATCATCAAGCGACTGTCAGGATGGTGGAAGGCGAACTGGGTGGACCTTGTCTTCTTTCGCCTAGCAAATTCTTATGTTGTTATGTTCTAATTCAGTGCAATTTTACTTAGAACTGGAGGATCCACAAGTTGGGAAAGGACTATATCTGAAATTGTTTCCTGTTAGATCGTTTATTGATCGTCACCTTTTATTTTCACTCAATAATGTGTTGACATTTTTCCAAGTTTGTTTTTAAAAAATACAAATTGCCCTGTGGTAAAATAGTACTTTGTAAATTAGCAAACTATTACTGGATAAATAGTAATACTGTTAATATATACAGCATGCAAATGTGAGCTGTTTGGATCTTGAATGTACTCAAGCATGAACCTTTAGTAAGCAGCCTCTACCTATCTGTTACCGCAAGACAACTGTTTCAGCTGCCTGCAGATAAACAGTCCCCATTTAAATGTGAACCAAACCGCTTTCCACTCACCCTTATTTATATCAAAACTCTCAATGTAGCAGCAAAGAATCTTTATTCAGGAATAACATTAATTATCTGAACCTGACACTAAGTGCAGGAAATACGCCCCATCCATTGCTGGACATCACCTTGAGACAATGACATAAATCACAAATTCAATTGAAATAGAACTCCCACTTCAACAGGCAAGCCTCCTGGTTGTATTAGACATGGCCAAATTGTTTGAATGATCAGCTTGGCTCAGAGTACCATTTGCTGCTCCTCCTTTCAGTGGAGCAATATTGTTGCTGGGAGCCACAGCTAAGAACTACGAATACCCAGCTTGAAAATGCCAATGATGGTGACATCTTCACTCTGCAGATTAGTTACCACATGGTATCATTTATTTTGCCACTTAGAGTATATTGCAGCTTTCGTTGTTATAGTTCAGGCTAAATAGCTGAACTTATGATATAAATGGATTTATTTACTAGCCATTATTGTTAAATATTACTAAAAAACTTCCTTGCATTTGAGAAATGCAAAGGATTTTATTATTAGTATGACATTCACGCAGGAGGTCATCTCAAAAGCATTTCACAGGATCTTACTGTAAAGTGGAGTTACTGTGCATTTTACAAACGAATGAGGCAGCGATTTGCACACAGCAATATCCCTCATTCAACCATGAAGTTAAGGAGCAATTTTATTTGAGAGATTATTGGCCCGGATACTGGGAGAAAACCCTTCTCTTTTTTTAATCGTACTGAGGGATCTTGGTATGGTAATATAAAAACTGTAATAGGCAGTTGACCAAGTTGCCTAATGTGGTGAATGGTGTGAAGACAATGTTTGCAAATGGATTGCTACTCACATGGCAGGCTACAATTTTGCTGCTTTGATCTGCTCTGAAGGAAACAACACGATTTCTGCCATCCCGAAGCATGGATCCAGCTTTCTGACAGGTCAGTATAAGCTGTGAGAGAAACAGAGGGTGAATAAAACCAAAGGCAGCATTTTCACTTTAATGTACACCCAAATAATGAATCCCATTTATCCCTTTGTATCCAAGATTCACCAAACTCCCTATTGCTGGCTATCGCTTAAAAATAATAATCCTTGTGTATGATATAACCTTTAATGTTGAAACATCTCAAAGAGCTTCATAGGGAACTGCTGAAATGACCGCATTTGTAGGCAAAAATGGCACTTATTTGTACACAGCAAAGTGCCACAAACACACATGAGGTAAAGACTGATTCAATCTGGAGGATTGTTGGCTAGGACACCAGGAGAAACTCCCCTTCTCTATTTGAACAAAACCACGGGATCTTTAACATCCACCTGAACAGACTTTGGTTTAATGCCTCATCTGAAGGATGGCAACTCTGACAATATAGCAAGCTCCCCCAGTACTGTTCTGGAGTGTCACATAAGAAACTCGATCAAACTAAATTAGAATGAAATTGTTGAAGATCTGAAGACTGTATTGAATAAAATTCACCTCCTCTGGGTTTTCATTCAGCTCCCTTTCAGTTTCTTCAGTGTGTACCAGGTGACCCTTTGTCTTTTTCATATCTGGTTCTCCAAGTTCCTTCTTCTGTAAGATTTACAACACAGGGTAATAGTCTCCACCAGAATGATTAAAAAAAATCAGAATAGTAATCAACATAGTTAATGTCGTCACCCAACACAAACATGGAGATAGACGATGGTTACAATTTACCATCACCTTTTTATTCTGCATGTATACTGTACTGCATGTATACTGTACTGTATGTATACTGTACTGCATGTATACTGTATGTATACTGTACATATATTGTACTGGATGTATACTGTACTGCATGAATAATACATATACTGTACGTGTACTGTATTGTATGTATACTGTACTGCATGTATAATGTACATATACTGTACACATACTGTGTCACATGTATACTGTACTACATGTATACTGTACATATACTGTATATATAGTGTACTGCATGTATAATACATAGACTGTACATATACTGTACTGCGTGTATAATACATAGACTGTACATATACTGTACTGCATGTATACTGTAGTGCGTGAATAATACATATACTGCACACATACTGTACTGCATGTATAATGTACATATACTGTACACATACTGTACTGCACACATACTGTACTACATGAATAATACATATACTGTACACATACTGTACTGCATGTATACTGTGCATATACTATACTGCATGTATACTGTGCATATATTGTACATATACTCTGCTGCATGTATACTGTACTGCATGTATAATGTACATATACTGTACATATACTGCATGTATACTGTACTGCAGGAAGAAAAGTAATGTTCTTTCAGCAGTGGAGCGATGTGGAGAGCGAAGCCAGAATCATGCCCTCCTCTTCACTGCAATAACTAGAGCTATTAAAAGAATCTAACCCAATTTTAGTCATACAACCAGCTCAGAAACAGATCCTTAAAGTTTCCTCAGCCGTTCAGGGTACTGCACAAAGAAATGGATCATTGGGCATCAGATCAGATCTTGGTTTGTACTGGAATGTTACAAAGTGAAGTATTGCTGAAACCACCCGCTGAAGGTGATCCGAGCAGCAAGACACTAATGCTGGCACTGCTCCAATTTACACAACGCTTTTCATGGTAAACTTAAAAGTGACTGATGTTTGAAATGTGCTGTTTGGCGTCACAGATTACATTTCAAGCAAGTCTAAATGCTACCAATATTAAAGCCAGCATTTGATCTTGACCAGAGCTCATAACAACCTTATTTGGGGGCTCACTTAGAATCAATAAGAGAGTAGGTTTCATTATATTTGGTCTCTTTGTTGCAAGGAAATAATCCATTAAACTAGAGAACCACTTTTTCTATACTTCCATAATTGATATTTGCTGTAAATTTAGTGCAAAAATACACAACGATGTTGTTCAGAGCCAATAGCTCGGAACAACATGACGGGCCTTAGCTGAAGCTGTGAAACATGGACAGAAGGTTGGTTGGATCATGAAAGTGGCCTGGAGCACATTAAAAATTCATATTGACAACATTTCTCTTTGATGTGTTTAATAACAATAATCACTTGCATGGTAAGAGAAAATGCCTTGAAGCCATTTACAAACTAAAATTAAAATGAAAGTGAATGTTATATAGACAAAGTCAACAGCTAAGCAACAGTGACATGAGTGGTTTATTAATAGTATTCTTACTTCATCCAGATAGCAGATGTCCCATGCTCGGAGTTCACTGTCAGATGATCCAGTCACTATTCGCTTCTCCTCTGAAAGCAATACAAATCCCCACACCTGGAGGAAACACAGAGGGTAACAAACATCCACATTAAACCTTTTTTCTTTAAACAAAATTCAAGGACAATTAATAAAAAGTATAACGGTTTCTCTAGAACCATTAAGCATTAATGAATTTCAGTTAATCTCCTAAAAATGAATTCCAGTTAATCTAACAAAGATTATTTCTAGATAGTCCCTGACTGACATCATATTTTAACCAAGTAGAGAAGTTATTCTGCAGATGTTTGGACTGCCGAACAAGAACGGTTTGCGAAACCTACTATCCTCGAGTAATATTAAGGAACGAAGTTGGGTAGACATGAAGAATCCTATGAATCTGTTCAAAAAGAAAAGGGAGTTTCTTTCATTACTCTGACAAAGAAACCCCTAGATAGGTCATTCACTTCAGGTAATTCTAATGAACTAGGTTTTGCCACGTTGGTAACCTAAATTTAGATGACTGCTTTGTAAACATCTATTTTTTGTGAATAATCAATAGAATAAGTAATAATATATAATAATAACAATAATGACTACCATTTGCATGGATACAGTAACTATAACATCAGCACTTGTCAAAGGGCTTCATGGGGAATTATATATTACCATATGGGGAATTACCATATATTTATGGGCTGTTAAATATAACGACTGTTTAGATATGTAGGCAAATGAGGCAGATATTATGCACATAACAAGGTCCCACAAACATCTATGAAGTAATCGACCATTGTAGTTAGGGGTTTCTTTGCCAGAGTAATGGAAGAATCTCTCTTCTCTTTTTGAACAAGCGTCATTCGATCCTTCATGCCTGTCCAAGGAGGCAGAAAGGAACAAAAAACACAGAGAGCTGGGGAAACTCAGCAGGTCAAGCATCATCTATGAAGAAAGGAAAGTGAGTCAACGTTTCGGGTCCACGACCCTTCGCCAGCTCTCTGTGTTTTTGTTTCAGATTCCAGCATGTGCAGTATTTTGTGTTTTGAGTTGGATAGGAGCTCAGTTCAATGTTTCGTCCAAAAAATGGCACCCTAACAATGCAGTGTACGAGAGGTCAGCCTGGACTATGAACCTTAGTCCTCATGAAGGACTTGAAGACACAACATGTTTTTTTTTTAAATTGTTCTGACCCACAGCAAGCATGCTTCCAAACTGACCAGTGTACAAGTACAATGCTTATTTGACAGAAACGTGACATAATTGACTGGATTTTGACCTCCTGACAACGTTCTAACTTTATTTGCATCATCAAAATAACACAAGCATCAGATGAAACATTGCATTGGACTGTGCTGAGACTAATTACAGCACAATCCTCACGTTTCACAGAGAATAAAATAACATTCAGTGCTGGGCCTGACTGAACAACGATTGTCTTGAGGAAATATAAAACGTTACAATTTTTTTGGTAGCGAAATGGTTACAGCACCGCAGATCAAACCAACACAGTCTGAATGGCTTCTATAAATTAATTGCTAACCTCACTACGATGTCCGACCATGGTTTTGAAGCAATGTTGTGTATCCAAGTCCCACCATTTCACAAATGTGTCCTTGGAACTAAAACAAAGCGGACAGAAAGAAACAAATGTATTCAATTCCCGAGAGTCATAAACATAGATTCAAATAAAAAGATTCCTGCTTCCATTAACCCAGTCATTCCCTCTGAGACATTTCCTGCAGGATACTCTGTTACAATCAAGTTTTATAATAATAATAATACAAACTTAGATTTTCCACTCTCAGGATCAAGTTTTGAGGAATTGGACACCAATCCACATGAAAAGTCTGAAGAAACAGAGAAATCTGAAGAGTACCAGCCATCATGGGATGCTGTACGAGATGATAGTAGGATTTGCTGCAACTTAGCTGTTGGTGATGTTTTGGGGGAGTCTTTGGAGGCACCTTTTGTGCTGATGTTATTGAGTTAAAATGTGTCAACCCTTATCTTTTAGTTAACAAAAACAATATAATGGTTTGAGAATTTCCCATTAGGGTTCAATTCCAGGCAGGGCAAAACTTTGGGCAAGTTTCCTTACTCCACACGCCTAATAATAACCCTCCAAAATAATAATAAATTGGTCATTTTCAATCCACGACTGTCTGTGGGACACTGCTGTGCGCAATTGGCTGCTGCGTTTCACCCACAAATTATGTACGGTCAATTCACTTTACAGTCTATTCTGTGAAGCACTTTGAGTCGTCGAGAAGACGTGAAAAGTGCTATATCAAATGCAAGGATTATTATTATTATTTATTATTATTATTAACACGGTAACCACAATAAAGTACCAAAAGAAAAAACATCTTTTAAATAGTGACATCTTTTTGTTCATTTCTCTCCAGTATAAAAGAGGGTGAGGGGTTAGAAGGAAATTCTTCACTCAGAAGGTTGTTTGGGTTTGATTGCTACAACTGATTTTTGAAGTTGAATCAATGAAATTATTTAAAAAGGAACTGGATAAACACTGGACAGTAAAAACATTTGAGGTTATGGAGAAAGAGTAGGAATTTGTAATAAAGCTGGAATTATTAATTCAAAAAAGGGTTATTTAGTAATGCATGTAGAAGTAGCACAAGAATAATAATGGAGTGAATAGCCTCCTGTTGTGCTGAAAACAATGTTGCTAATACCTGGAGACCAGAAGGTTCTTGTCTTTGAGAAACATTGCTTGTGTAATAACATCTTTGTGCCCTTTCAGTCTGTATAAACCACTCTCGTTGACAATATCCCATACAATGATTTCTGTGTCCTGGAAAAAGTGCAAAAATTTCCACGATATTGAAATTAAAATAATAATAATTTGGTCACTCAATCCATGACTATTTGTGGGACAATTGGCTGCCGCCTTTTGCCCACAAAATTCACTTTACAGTATATTTGGTAAACCGTTTTGAGATGCCTGGAAGACGTGATAAATTGCTATATCAAATGCAAGTATTATTATTATTTTCAACAGTCTTTTGCAGAACAATAAATCAGTTTTACTACATGACAGAAGCTGTATGTTAGGGAAGCGCATGTTGCAAATTCTGTAAATGTTTGTACTGAATGAAAGAAAACAATGTTAAACTCCTAATCACACAGAATAAGGAAAATACACTGTACTGTAGTACCTAATTTCTGTTGCAGAAATGTATTAGTCTCCAATGCAGGGATACATTATTGCAACCTTACATTACAAAACAACTTGTATTACATAGTGCACTTCACATAGGGACTGTTTTTTAGGCAACCTGACGTATTACTCAGTGCAAAACAGAAAACAATTTTACTATCCAGTCATATTTTGCCTTGCAAACAATTTTACACTGACACCCCCCCACCCCCAACCAAATGACCTCAAATCCGTACCTTTGATCCAGATACTAGCCGTGCTCCAAGACTATCATAATTAAGAATGGATACTGATGATTTGTGCCCATTGAAAGTGACATTGCTCTCTCCAGTCATTATGTTGAATATTCGTATTGAGCCATCTTCATACCCAACCGCCAGGTGACGGCCATCGGGAGAGGAGCACAAGTACGTCACTTCATGTTTAATACCCTGAAGAATTAATATCTGTGGATTCAACATACAACAAGGACTTCAAAACAATGCACTGTTTCAAACTCTGTGCTTGCAGGCAAACAGAACATGAACTAATAAAACAAAAGGTTCTCTTTTAGTATACTTTACAGGAAGAGTGCTGCATATCCATACACCAGAGAATCCACTTATTGGCTAAGATGTGGAAGGAAGTAAAGCGATGCTGAGATCCTGAGATTGAAATCCGCAATTTCAATGAGGAATTTGATACAGTTGCAGTAAATGGTTAGAGATAAGAGACAGAAAAAAACAACCGCTGCGTGAGAGCGGGAAGAGAGTGGCACGATGTGGGCAAACATGAGAGTGACAAAGAGAAAGGTTGACACTGCCATAGTGTTAGTATGTGCCCTTATGGATGTTTTTGGTTCGTATTGACATTGTAGTTTACATAATGATCAGCGTACAAGTACAATGCTTATTTGACAGAAGCACGACATAATTGACTGATTTTGTTCTCTTGACAACCGTCTAACTTGACTTGCGTCGTCAAAATAACACAACATAATCTGCACTGTCTTCACATCTATAATAGGTCTGGTCCCAACCGGTGGGGATATTGGGCGCTCTACTGAGTTTGGAGCTGTGAAAAAAATTCTTCAGATGGCTACTGTGCTCAAGACAACCTCACTTACCTTTTCTCCTTTCCTTATATCCCAGATGAACACATGCTCACACGCAGCAACCGCCACGTACCGACCCTTCTCTCCTCGCAGCTGCACGTAAACCACGTTGGCTTTGGGGCTTGCGATCACTCCAAAAACCGCCGTGGCGGCGTACCGCAGGTACTGCTTTGTCAGGCCCATGGCCGGGCGCGCTCACAGGGCAGCGCGGCGCGCAGTGAGCGAAACGACGTCCGTTCCTGAAAAGGCAAACCAAAGACCGACAGCGAGTGAACGCTTCTGTTTGGGACACAAACGGACGAGCGCGTTGTCGGGCGCGCGCCATCCTTTCGGCGAGACGCCAAACTGCTCCAAGCGGACCTTCGAGCTCCGGTGGCGCTCTTGGAAAAGTGACGGGAGTGCCTCCCGGTGTCCTGACCGACGCATCCCACCCCCTCCCCCCGGGGATGGGGGGAAAAAAATTGGGTCAATCAAGTCTCGCGTGTGTTTTTTTTGGGGGGGGGAGGGCGGGAGTGGGGGGAGGGGGGGGGGGGGGACACACACAACAAAATGTGTCTACAAAATGCGGTCACCGCCCGCGAGCCAACAGGACTCAACGCGCTTCAGAGACGTGATAACAATCCCTCCAAAAAAAAACAAAAGAATAAGAAATCGGTCATTTTCAATCCGCGACTGTCTGCGGGACATGGCTGTGCGCGATTGGCCGCCGCGTTCGCCCACAAATGTACAGTCGGTTCACTTTACAGTGTGTTCTGTGAAGCGCTTCGGGACGTCCTCCCGACGTGAAAAGCGCTATATCAAATGCGAGGATTATTATTATTATTTTATAGTCCACGTAAACACGAGGGGTGTGGGGGAGGGGTGGAGGGGTGTGGGGAGGGGTGTGGGGGAGGGGTGGGGGAGGGTGTGGGGGAGGGGTGGGGGGAGGGGTGTGGGGGAGGGGTGTGGGGGAGGGGTGTGGGGGAGGGGTGTGGGGGAGGGTGTGGGGGAGGGGTGGGGGGAGGGGTGGGGGGGAGGGGTGGGGGGGAGGGGTGGGGGGAGGGGTGTGGGGGAGGGTGTGGGGGAGGGTGTGGGGGAGGGGTGGGGGGGAGGGTGGGGGGGAGGGGTGGGGGGAGGGGTGGGGGGGAGGGGTGGGGGGGGGGTGTGGGGAGGGGTGTGGGGAGGGTGGGGGAGGGGTGGGGGGAGGGGTGGGGGGAGGGGTGGGGGAGGGGTGTGGGGGAGGGGTGGGGGGGAGGGTGGGGGAGGGGTGTGGGGGAGGGGTGTGGGGAGGGGAGGAGTGGGGGCCTCGGTGTGGGCGGGTCGGGCCCCCCGGAATGGCCCGGTTCCGCGCCGTGTAACGTGGCAGGAAAATCGCATTCACAGCCTTTAAAACGCGATCCGGATCGATATCGGGATTCAAGGGATTCGGCGTGAAACGACACTCGCTCTCAGCCAAAGAGGCCGCCACGCGATCGATCCATCGATCGACCGATCACTCACTCACTCGCTCCGTCCGACCGACCGACCGCCCGTCCGCCGCAGCTCCGAACGCGAGTTGCTCCCCAGTGCTTCGCGGAGCGCGACAGAGCGAACAGGCGCGAGCGCTCGATCCCCGAACCAATCCAACGGACCGGCGCAGCCCTCGGGACAGCGAACTGGAGAGGGCGATCCTGATCTCTGCGAATCGACTGGTGAAGTCTGAGCGAGCGAGCGAGCTCTCGAGCTCTCGATCTCGCGTGAAGGTGACGTACGTTCGGACGGCCGCGGGCCGCCCCCCCTCCCCGTGGTGTGTGCGCGCGCGCGCGCGCGCGCGTGTGTGTGTGGATGTGTCGCGGAGCGCGCGCGACGCGGCCGTTGGAGCTCGGTCTGCCGCGTGCGCGAGGCTGAGCGGCCGTTGGTGGTCGGTGACCGTGTGCGCATGCGCGCGTCCCGTCCGCCCCCCCCCACGTCCCCCTCTCTCTACCCACCCCGACCCCGAATGGAGCCAATAAAAACGGCGACCGGAGCAGGTACCTGAGTGAGTGAGTTAAGTACACACACACTAAATAGACCAGACATTTACAAACAAAAAAAAACACGCGCACACCTTCCTGCTCACCCGGAGGAGAGAGCGTGTGACCGACTGCACCGTCTGCGAAACGAAGCCGAGGAAACGCCGTCACGAGAGATTCAACGGTTGATCCCCCGGAGGAGCGGCCCAGGGCCGGGACCCAGGGACCGAGGGGCAGGGCCGGGACCCAGGGGCAGGGCCGGGACCCAGGGGCAGGGCCGGGACCCAGGGACCGGGGGGCAGGGCCGGGACCCAGGGACCGGGGGGCAGGGCCGGGACCCAGGGGCAGGGCCGGGACCCAGGGACCGGGGGGCAGGGCCGGGACCCAGGGGCAGGGCCGGGACCCAGGGACCGGGGGGCAGGGCCGGGACCCAGGGACCGGGGGGCAGGGCCGGGACCCAGGGACCGAGGGTAGGGCCGGGACAGCCACGGCAGCCGACGGCCCGAGCGACGAGAACATTTATCGTGTCGACCCGGAGGCGGTGAGGGGGGAGCGGGTGGGACGGACATATTTTCTTACGAAACCACCCAAAAAAAAGAAGACAATTTCCCAAAAAAAATGACGAATTAAAAGCCGCCGCCGCCGGCGGGAGGTGGGAGTGGGGGGGGGTCGTCTCTGACTGAAAGCGGAAAGGCGATCGGCCTCCCCAGCGCCGGGGTCAGCCAGCGGAGGGGGCGGCCTCCTCGCCAGCTGTACCCCTTGTCCCCAGGTGGGGTGGTCCTCGTTGCCGAGGAGAGGAACCGAGCCCTCTGCACGACAGACAGATCGAAGCGAACAGCCCGAGAGAGGGAGAGAGGGAGGGAGAGAGAGAGAGAGAGAGAGAGTCGTCGGCAGCTCCTGGTTTTCTTTTAGGCGCACAGACGGAGCGAGTTTGATTTTAAAATCGACTGTCGCCGCTCACAAAAGGTGTTGGGGAGGGAGGGAGTGTGAGTGTGGGTGTGTGTATTTGGCTTCTCCTTCCTCCCCTTTTCCTGCCCCTGTCCCTTGTCTTCTCTCCCCCCCCCCCCACCCCCTCCTCCCTCCTCCCTCCACCTCCCACCGTCAGTCACCCTCTCCTCCGCTGACAGCAAGTCCCCCCCACACACTCGAGACTTTTCGCGAGGCTGCAGGATGGACCCTCTGGGCGCCCGGTCCCCGGTGGTGGACGTTCAGACCCTACCCCGTTGGGCCGACAGTTTGCACGAAGGCGACCAGACCGATTCCGCCAGGACCTGCGGCGAAATGCAACGCGACCCCTCAGTCTCGTCACCCTTCCCTCACAGAGAAGACATCAACAGGAAAATTATTCTGTGGTACGTGTTCTCCCTTCCCTCCCCACCTCCCTCCCTTCCCTCCCCACCTCCCTCCCTTCCCTCCCCACCTCCCTCCCTTCCCTCCCTCCCCACCGCTGAGGTTCCTGCCGAGGTTCAATAGGGATACTTCATCCAAAATCAATCGTGTGTCGTACAGTTCTTAATTCAGCTTTGTGCCCGGAAAAGACCCCCGGGGGCTGGGTGGGGGGGGGGACATTCTTGCTAACATATTTTAAATTCCAGCACTTGCAGCATGATTTCACGCATTTTTTTTTAATGGCATGCTTTTGAAATGCTCTGCGGGTTCACCATTTTAAAGGAAAAGGGGTGACATGGCAGATTGCTTCCAGGTCCAGTTGAGTGGATGACTGCACAGGCCACTCGCACATGATTGCATGTTCAAATCCCCTTGTCCCCCCTACTTTTGTAGGCGGTTGAGATGCTGCTGTGCTTGGTTCACCTGCGCCTGTTGGACCTGGGTGACGGTCTTTCCATCTACGAATAGATTGTGAAGTGGATTCGCTGTATTTTGTGGCTGAAACTTATTATTATTCCATGATCAACCGCAGAAAGTGGAAAATGTCCAATTGCATCCTTTACATTTCTTCCTGGGTTTATGTTTAGACATAGTAAGTAATCTCGTAGACTGCCCATTTTACTGTTGATCAGCAGATGAGGTTGGACCAATTCAAATAATATTGAGGTTTTGATTTTAACTCTGGATCTGTGGTCTCGAACTGTCTGCAGCAGTTGAGCTGTCAATATAATATACAAGAAGTATTTAATTGCACTGTAGAATCTGACGAAAACCTATAGGGACTACACATTAGAATGTAGCATTTCATTGACTGAAATGGACTGAGGGGCACGTAATTCAGAAGCCAAAAGGTTGGATGCAATGTTTTTCTGTGAACCATTGCCAATTGATGCCTTGTTTATGTCACACATTTATCTTATTTCATACTTGAAACTCATGACTATTGGAATTAATGCTCAGTGGGTAGGGAGGGATGAGTGTCTGAGCTGTGGGTAGGAAGATAATTGTAATGTTCTCACACATTTCATGCTGAGCTGTGCTGCTCACCAGGAATCCCATGGTAGTGCCTGTTACCTGCCATTCACCTGGCAGGGGCTCAAACTTGCACTTGTCGGATGTAAAATGGCCAACTGGTAATTATCCTTCTTAATAGGGGAGGTGAGTGGGTCTCCTTGGAGTTGAACTGGCTCCAAGATGATGTGCTTGGCAACGGAAGGTCTGAATCTAATCAATTCTATGTGGCAGACGGATCCATAGTACACCTAGGTACTGCTGGATCATTAACAGGATTGAGGGACAGATTGGTCACTGGGGGAATCGATTCTTTCCACTCAGCTTTTGTTAACCCTGTAAGCCAAAGCCCCAATGGATGGGGTGGTCCTAGCTGGGCAAGTTGTGGGAAGCTTGCCAGACAGTGCTTTCAATTGCAAGTTATGCTGTTTTAGCTGCAGTAGTACCCTTAAGCAACGGTTTCCCTCTGGAGGGAAGGTGTGCATTCCGGTCTATGGAAATTCCCATGTGTACTTAGCCTGCATGGAACTTTGTCTGGTTTGGATACTCTTAAGCACGTTGATTGGTTTCTGCATGTGTTAGACACTAGCTGACAATATTGGCTATATTTTATTTTGGAAGATTATTGTATTTCCTTTACTTAAGAGTTGCAGACTCTTATCAAATAATTATCAACAGTGAACAGAAGTAGGCCATTCAGCCCCTCAAGCCCATTCTGCCATTCTATAAGATCATAGCTGATTTGTACCTCAAGTCTAATTACCCACTCTTGCCCGTATCCCTGAATACCCTTACCTAATTAAGTGTTCAGTATGGAGGTGCACTGTTGTGTACATTGTAACCCAGTGATACTCTTATCAAGAAATTGTGGTTACTGTTGGTACAAAATATTGGTGTGAAGGCACCCTGTACAGCAGATTAGAATGTGCAAATTTTGAAGTCAACGAAGGTACCAGTTAAAGAAATACAATTCACATATGAAGCATAATAGCTATGTGTTGTGTATTTGTAGTATACTTATTGTTTAATTTCCACATTGGTGAACATCGTCTGAGTTGCTACATTTAGTAGCGAGGAATTCCCCACCTATAATATCCTACCTGTAACTCACACGCCTGGCCATGTCCATTCAAGAGAAACGGTAGCGCAGCCTGAGCAAAATCTTTGTTTCATAAGGTTACTAAAAAGAGAGGTTGATAACTGAATAATAATCCTTTCGTATGTTGTTGTACCTTAGCACTTTGGAACAACTCCAAGTGCTTCGGTGTTTTCTATAAAGTGTAGTGACTGTTTATTGTTGGTGAATGTGGCATCAAATTTGGATAGAGCAATATGCCATAACACAGCTAATTTTTAAATCTGAGAATTGTTGGCAGTAGGAACAATCCCCATTTCCCAATAGTGTTGTGGTATCTTTAAAGTCTATCTGAACAGATAGATGGGAAATGGGTTTAATGTCTCATTCAGAGGATGTTTTGTCCATTGGAACTTTGTTGTTTAAATATTGTGCAGTGTATTGCTAATAAAGTATTTTCAGTTCAGCAATTTAACCTTTAAGTAAATTATTTGTGTTTTTGTGAGCTAAAGTATTTGAATGCTTGCGCAGGAGCCAAACTTGAGTAATTCTAATGGATAATAAAGTTGGTGTATGAAATAGGCTGATATTCAGCAAAAGATTAGAAGTATTTATAGGGAATGGTCCCAAGTTTACAGGGTAGTAAATGTTTTCTCTTAAAGAGACACCGCTTATTCGCAGCAACAATAGCTCTGGCCAACCATTGTTTGTTTTAAGTGGAATATTTATACTTTAGTCTCAAAGTAGAATTAATGCATAGTAAACTATGTAGGTTTAAAATTAAGCTTTGTAACTGTTTCCACTTCCTCTTACTTCAGGGTTATGAAAATAAGTCAAAAATATCTCAACAACTTGCATTTATGTAGCACTCTTCACGTGGTGTAGTGACTCAGAGTACATTGTTAGTAGTTCACTGAAGACATTCCTCACTTTATTTGCTTGCTGCTTTTTATGGTAAATATATGAACATGAAGTGAAAAATTCAAGCATGAAGTGTTCCTACATATCTTTAAATATCAAAATTTATCTTGGCTTTATTAACACCTCTTTAACCCATCATCCCTGTCCTCTAACCTATTTTCTCCTTTGTCTTCCTTGCCCTGCCTCCCCCCTCTCTGTTAATCCTTAAAAGCCTCTTCCCCCCACATGCCCCAGATCTGACAAAGGGTCATGGGCCCAAAACATGAACTGCCTGATTTGCTGAGCGTTCCCAGCGACTTCTGTTTTTGTATCTGAAATAGTTTCCTGCTTTCTTAAGTTGTACTGTTCTCTTTCCCATTCAAACTGGCTGCCAGATGACATACATTGGAATTGAACCTGTAAACAATTGTAGTTCATCTAAATCTAAGGAACTGACCATGATTCTTAATTCTCAGATGGCCTTCGTTAAATTATTCAACCCACCTCAACTATTTCCACCATCCCAATTGGATCTTCTAAAAGCTGATGCAAGTAAATCAGATGATTTATTTTTGCAGACTGGAGTTTGTGTGTTCTTTGAAATGCAAATGTGCATTTGTGGACAAATGCGGCAGCCAGTTAGCACACAAGTGTCCTACAATCAGCCATGAAGTGAATAACTAATTTTATTTATGGGAATGTTGGCCAGGACACCTGTAGAAATACCCTTCTCTTTTCAAATAGTGCCACCTGAACAGGCAGATGGGACCTCAGTTTAACGTCTCATCTGAAGGTACCTCCAACAACAAAATATAACCCTCAACACTACATTGGAATGTCAGCTGAAACTGAGTTCAAGTCCCAAAGTGAAGCTTGAACCCACAAGCTTTTGACTCTGAAGTGGGAGTGCTACTATTGAGCCAGGCTGACACATACATAACTGAGATTTCACTGGTTTGATGAAAAATTCTGACGATCCAGCAATAAGCAATGCATCCCAGATGTAATGATCAACTCACTTTGATCCCATTCCACCAAAGTTTAAATTAGTTATCTAAGAACTATATGCACATTTTCTTGTAGAAGTTCAGTTTTAATAAACCTTCCTAGGGATCAAGTGAGGCCTTTACATCCAGGACAAAGTGTTACATTCCATCAACAAGTTTCTACGTCAAGTAACTGAACTGTTCCCACGTAGACATAAAATGGACTTTGATGATGCTGGATTTGATGATACTTTGAACTCAAATCTGTGTACTGATACTGAAAATTTGCATATACCGTGCAATATCTGAAGGTTTCTTTTTCAGGATGGGGGATGTGGCCTTGTTGAACGGTACAGCTATTGTGAACACCAGTAATGAAATGCTGTCTGAGAAGAACAGCATTAGTGACAGCATTCATTTGTATGCAGGCCCAGAGCTCAGGGAAGAATTGCAAAAATTAAAAGGTAAGAGGCATTATACTTAGCTGTACACAGCAACTGATTAGGTGATTTAAATGTGTTTCTTTTGTTTCTGCCTCCATTCAAGGTCCCTCAATATGCCTGTTCCAAAATACTCCAAATAATAATTCATGCATTTGATATAGCCCTTTTGCTTCGAGAGGATGGCTCAAAGTTTTTGCAGGATCTACTGTAAAATGGAGTGACTTTGTATTTTGGATGCAGATAGATTTTAATGAATTATTATTTATTATTATTATTATAGTAAAAAATTAGTCTTGAGACTCATCCAAATTATTAATTAATGTCTAGGTGTTTTAAGCTTGTTTGTTTAGGAACCAAGCTCACGGTAGTGAAGAGGTTAAAAGATCCATTATTGACCTGTGACTTGGCTGCTTTGTGACTAGAATGGTTGATTTAAGTAAGGCAACAAAGACTTACTGTCTTCAATAACTGATGCTTTATTAACTAGCTTAGTGCATCTAATTTAATTTCTTCTACTGAAAAATGGTTCAGAAGTTGATTTTTTTTCTTCTTGTTGATCTAACATGTTTTGTGCCACATTGCATGTCTCTATGCTTTGAAATTTTTAATTAAATTTGCTACATGTCTGGCACATGATGAGGCTGAATAAATGTTTTTTTGTCTTCCTATGCACCACTTCTGAAAGTGATGAATCACACTCTGCAATCTCACTACCCCTGGCAGCCCACCAATATCTCACTTCAGTAGTTGTTCTTTATTTATGAGACTGAACAATAAGTGCTAAACCATTTTGACTGTCTGTATACACTGTGGTGAAGGTGAGTTGTAGAGGACCTAATCTGATCATAAGGTCACTGGATAACCATCTATAGCTAGAATCCTGTCTCTTCCCTCAGAAAGCGCATCACATAACCAAGGAATGCTGAGGTCAACTGTAGCTTCCCTCTGTTGCCTGAATCGAGGACTTAAAGCTCATTTCAGATGAGTGACTGAACCGATTTATCTCAGTGCTATACCAAAAGGTTTATTTATCACTTAATTTATCTGTCAAGCCCTAATCTGAAGATTGCTCTGGCTACTTTTCATTCAAATCATCAATGCCAAGGCAACAGAACAAGACGACCCAATATGTCTTTACACAGAGGGAAATTACTGAATCAGGTTAATACTTGCATTTGAAGTAGCACCTTATCATGTCGTCAAAGACTCAAAGCGCATCGTAGGATTTTTTTTGTGTGAATAATAATAATAATCCTTGCATTTGATATAGCGCTTTTCACGTCTTCTGGATGTCTCAAAGCGCTTCACAGAATATGCTGTAAAGTGAATTGACTGTATATTTGTGGGTGAAACACGGCGGCCAATTGCGCACAGCAGTGTCACACGAACAGTCGTGGATTAAAAATGACCAATTTATTATTTTTTTTGTTTTTTAGAGGGATTATTATTAGGTGTGTGAAGTTTAGTAAAAGTGTATGTTACCAGGAAAGGTGGTTGAGATCAGGATCCTGGACTCATTTGTGCATAAGGCTGTATTGGGAAGATGGTAGAGTAGGTATCTTTGACGAATGAGAGCAAATTGAGAAAAGGAGCCTCTTGTGAATCTGTTTGTGTGGAGAAATGGGAGATTTGTTTTTCTACCAGAATTAATAAAGGGAAGAGTGTGTGTAATTGTTATTTTTTTTCAAATGTTATTTCTATGGTTAAGTGTTTCAAGACTATTTCAATGAGATGACGAGTTGGGCCAGAGGAAGGAGAGGCTGAGCAAATGACAAAGAAATGGCATGAGGATAACATTGGGTTGGGGGGGAAGAAGTCTACCTACTCACTATCTGGGTAAATTGATGTGCTAAAGATACAGTGTGTGACAGATCGCTCCTCAGTGCCATTGACAACAAGGCGCTGTACGCCAGTGAGGCAGACGGTCTAGATCTAATTCATAAATGATCTGAAGGAGCCCAACAAGTCTAAGGAGAGAAAGAAAGCAGTGCAATCTCTACTGGGGTTATGGCTCAAGTGCAAGGTTCTCGCTGAGCTCTGATCTACCTGAGAATTCTTTGGACCAAGAATTGTGAACCAGAGAATCCTCAGCCCAAAGGCGGGCATGCAGTAACTCGCAGTACAGTTCATCCGATGAGGATTTGGGCTCTGAGCATTTTGTCAGGCTGGAAGATTCCAGTGAGTGCCTGCAAAACAGTGCCAATCTGCACCAGAGCCAAGAGGGCTCGTGCCCTGCCAGCAGCCATGCTTTGCTGCCCTGCAGGAAGCCTGCACAGTCCAAGGAGTGGACGAGAAAGATGTGTTCCCAAGGATTGCTCCTTAGTGCCGTTGATGTTGAGGCACTCTAAAGAGTAAATTTGGTTATGAATTTTATGTGCTGTAATCTCTACACTTCAGGACTCCTTAGCGCAGCTTTTTTTTTCTATTTTCAAGACTTCATTTATAAAGATGAATCTAAGCTGCTTTTTTTTAAAAAGATGTTCCTAACTGAAATTGTACTTTCTCTTAATTACTGAGTGGCATTCATGACAATAAAGGTCTTGTATTTAATTTTTTGGCTGTATTTATTCTATAACAACTTATAGGATTTTTGTTATTGGAATGCAAGCAAGATATGATTCGAATTTCAATTAACTATCGTTGGGAAAGATGTCTCTTTAGTTCTAAAGTTAACTGAAAAGGCAAAATTATCCAGGCTGCAGTGTACTTTGCACTATTGCTAAAACAATAGTTTCACAATACAACCTGTGACTTGCTTGCCAAGTCATATTTTTTTAAAGTAAAATAGCTGACTACTTCTTTGAATTCTGGGGAGTTTCCATAGACGTGAGGAGATGCTTTCTGTATCTGACTAACTTATTTTACATTTAAAAACAGAAAAAATAAATTTGATTATTTGTAAAGTTAAAATTTGATGAATTTGCCTTCTGTTATCACTTAACTAAATTATTTCTGGCTTGAGTATTATTTCAGTGTCTGTTCTATTCACCTGATTGTCAAATATCCATATATACAATATAACAAGGAAGTTGGGGGAGGGGTTCATTAAACAGCAGGCTTTCTGCACATATTTGGTTGGATCCACATTCCAGCGGTGCTATAAGTGAACCAGTGTTGTAAGTGCGTTTCACAGGATTTACTGTACTTGCCTGCAAGTTATTATCGCTAGTAGTTTGCTGACCCCTACTGACCATGGTATGCATTACACAATAATTTATTTTCTGTAATCTGTGTGGAACAATTTTGTTTTTTAGGATGCCGCACTGGAGAGGCGAAGATGACTAAAGGCTTTAACTTGGCTGCCAGATATATTATCCACACAGTAGGCCCGAGATACAATCCAAAGTACAGAACAGCAGCTGAGAGCTCCTTATATAGTTGCTACAGGAATATCTTTCTGTTAGCCAGGTAAAAATAATAATCCTTGTGTTTTGTATAAGGCCATATCACATTGGAAGTACAAGTCAAAGTACTTCATAGGATATTGTGAAATGGAGGGTTGTGTACTTGTAGGCAAATGCGGCAGCGCAATTGGGCACAACAATGTCCCATAGACAGCCAGGAAATGAATGACCAATTTGTTGGCCATGCCACGGAGGGGGGAGAACTCTTTTTTATATTTTGAATAGTGTCATTTGAGAGAAACAACTAAAGTGAAATTAGCAGCACCAACTTTTGTACAGTTATTTAGAAGAACCAAAATATAGATCGAAGCCCCGTTACATCACTTCTGACCCAAAAAATGTGCTTGATTCGGTGGGTCTTATTATATTCAGCAAATGGGAAGTAACTGTCTATTAGGGATGATTGATGCTCTGGAGCCAAGCAAGGCTGATATTTTCAACATTTTATTCAAATAATTTCTAAAAACTATTGTGTAGATTATTTAAACATTGTTGTGGAGTATAGTTCACTTGTGCATCTGCTGTATTTAAGAATAAATGGTTAACTTAAATTGTCTTCCTCAGGTTGATATCTCCAAACTATTGTATCCAAGAAGCATTTCAACAACAAATTACATTTGTATAATGCTTTTCACATTGGGAGGTTCATACCATAATATCAACTGGTACATTGTAGATTCAGATAGCTGGCTTGTGAATCCCATATGATTTTCTTTTAGAAAGATTTGGTAAGTGAATGAATCTATGCTAACTACTTTTTTTTTTAAACTTGTCACAGGGAACACTCGATGTCTTCAGTAGGATTATGTGTTATCAACACATTAAAAAGATGCTACCCTTTGGAGGATGCTACAAACATTGCTCTTAGTAGGTGTCATTTGATTGGGGAGAGGGATGGTAGAAGAGAGTGAGGGAGCAATTGGGATGTTTGGATAGAACTTTCATTATTGATTATCCTATATATTTCCACTTGTAACCTTTAGTCTTATAATACTTTAAATTGGGAACTGTCTCACACAACTAAAATTGCTGTTTGAATTCAATTATCTTACATTAATGACTAAGACCATTTCTTTACTGTTATATTAGCAAGCACAATTCAATCAGAAAAGACAAAGGTTAAATGATTTGTTTAGGAACTTGCTTCTACCCCATGATTCCCCTCCTGCTTTAAAGCTATTCACTTTATATGGTGTATATTATAAATGCAATTAACCTAATTAGAATAGTCCTTATTGGGTTTATCTCATTTATCATTTGTCTATATTCGAATGAGACATTTGCTACATTGGGTTAGCCATGCTTGTACTAAAAAGTTCTGCAAACTGCTTTTCCCTGTCCTGCCTCTGACACCTGGAGCTGATTTCTACTCCTCCCCGGCTGTGTCGAGTTTTGTGAAAGTGCAACCATGAAATTCAGAGATGAGCAAAATTAACATTTTCACTGAAGAAAGTAAGATCTCAACAAAAATGTGTATGTTTAAAGTTTTCTCCTTTAAATTTTCAGGAACAGTTAGGCGTTTCTTGGAGAAACATGGAGACACTATCGAGACTGTTGTATTTGCAGTCACTGATCTTGAAGAGGTAACTTATCCAGTTCAGTAAATTATTGTATGCAAGTGCTGCAATGTAATTCTGAATACTCAGTGGTTCAAAGCTTTCCTAAATTGTATTTCTGGACAATAATTATTGTACCGATTATTTGTGGCTCTAAATACGATGTTATAAATCCATGATCTTCTTCCCCATCCCACATGTAATGGGGATTTAAGTGCTCCAGGATGCTACCCCGCATGAAGGTAGCTATATAAATGCAAGTTATTGTTGTAATCTATTGATTTGTAAATCCATAATGATTTTATATTGTTATGTATTGAATGACTTATTACAAAAAAGTTGATGGAAAGTTAATTTTTTCAGTGTTTCTGATTTTAAAATCCAATCATTTAAGCTTTCCTTGCAATGAGGTTTCAAAGAGGGTGTCTTTTCCCCACAGGCTGCATATAGAAGGTTGATGCCTCTTTATTTTCCGAGGTCGTTGGAAGAGGAAAGAAGGTGTCTTCCATTTCTCCCTGTTGATATCGGGAATGCTGAAGGGGAGCCAGTCATTGCAGAAAGACAAATCCGTATTTTGGACAAACCAGGCATTTCACAATGTGAGTCTGTTAGTTTTTTACATTTTCCTTTCATTTTAATATTTATTTAGATTTATTTATGGATTGATACACCAAAGTACAGTGTATGCAATCAATTATCAGACACTCCTGTTCTGCTGGGGGAAGAGGCTTTTATGTTTTTCATGGTATTATGTCTATTTACTGAATATGTTAATGGTTGTTCTAAGAAGTATTAGCATTCCAGGACCCTTAATAAATCATTAATGATCCTGTGACACCGTTCCCAGCCAGTGATTCAGCTACTCTGACATAATGCTTCAATTCCTTTTAACAATTTCCACTCTAAGATGAATGGCTCCATGTATGCCTCATTGGAGTGGTGTACTGTAGTCAGATTGGGAGCTGACCCACTTTATTTTGTTCAACAAGCTGCCCTGAACTTGAAGATATACAAAGTTCCAGGGCAGCTTGTTTTTTCGTGTAATCTAGAGATGAGACTGAGACATTGCCTTTTGTGAAGAAGTATTAATTCCAATAACAATCCTTACATTTGACGTAGCTTCTTAACATGTCATCAACACGTATCGAAGCAGTTCACAGAATTTTACAATGAAGTATAGTGACTATTTGAAGGGAAATTCAGCAGTAATTTAGGCACAGCAATGTCCCACAAACAGCCATTAAGTGAGTGACCAATTTTAGCCGGGTAGCTGTTGGGAAGAACTCCAGGAGAAACTCCCTTCTCTTTTCCAACAGTGCTATGGAATCTTTCATGTCCACCTGAACAGGTAGGCAGGGCATTGGTTCAGTATCTTTTCGGACGTCATCTCTGACAGTCCAGCATTCCACTGGACTGCCCCTAGACTTTGAGCTCAAAATTCTGACGTGGGGCATTGAACCTACAACTTTCTGACTCTTTAAGGCACGAGTGTCAGTAACCGAGGAAGGCTTAAAGTACCTTAGGTAAAAGTAGAGTAAAGGTATAAAATCCTACCTACAAATTAAGTTGGGTCCAAGGACTTATTGCTGATCTAATGGGTGGTAATGTATTTATCATTGTAGATGAAGATGAATCTGACGAGGAAGGTCTTGACCTAGAGTATATTGGGATGCATGCATTTGCTAAGATGGAAGGAGATATTGATAAACAAAGGCGACTGATTTTACAAGGGCAAATGTCTGAGGCAGCTGTCCAAAAAGCGCATCAGAGAAAGTGAGTATGGAATATGCAAACTTATTTCTCGTCAAATTAATGCATTATCAGATACCTTTAATGCTTTTTCCAAGTGATCTGTTCCAACATTTGTGGAAAAAGCAGAATAAAAATTGAAGCACAAAAGACTTGTGTGTCAATAGGCTCGCTGTCAAAAGATGTGCCGTAAATATATAAAAGGGCACTAAATAAATGTATTGCATTTATAGAACTGAGGCATGTTTTTGTCCATGAAAGTTCATGTTTTTAAAAATAAAACCATAAATAACCCATTACCTTTGGAGCTTTCGGAGTCCTATTTCATTCTACAGTTTATTGCTTTGGCTGCGTACTCTGCTTTTCCTCAGCAAATCTATTCTTGTGGCACAGCTGAAGCCTGGAGCACCATATGTTGAAATATGGGCATGAATCGATATCTAACACTGGTTGTGCTCCCTCAGTGTGTTTTCCAAGAAATTTGTGTATAGTTTTAATTTTGTGCCATCACACTTTTGTAACTGGAGTGTTATTCCACGTAAATGTTTCTTGATGTGGCTTCTAAAGTACACTCATCATGCATATTTGGAAATAGCAGATGTCACACTATTGAATGATTTCAGCAACCAGCAATTTCTTTGTTTTCCCTCAATTACCAAAGATTATCCACAGAATGATTAAAAAACTTTGTTTCATTCTCATCTTTAGCTATAATCGTTGGTTGTGCAGAGCTAGAGCAGATGACTTGTCAGACATTGCTGCACTGAAAGCATTATACCAGACTGGTAAGTACTGATTACTCTAGGACTTGAACATAATGTATGTAAAATAAAACTCTTTGCATAACATGTCTGCTATCGAATGGGCCTGTGTGATCTGGGTTTCCTCAATTTAATATTTCAAGGGAGTTGAGATTATAGCTGGAGTTAACACTGACAAGTGTCTTGCATTCAGGAGTATAAGGAAGAAATTGTGTCAATTTAAATTGCCCAGATTTTACTGATCACCAGGGTGTTGATTTCCCTTTTTTGCAAATGTTTTTTAAAGTTATTTGTCCTGGTCTTTATATTCAAATTGAGTAATTTGAAAGTCTTAATACAAGTAAACCTTGCTATATTTTCTGTTTGCCAGAATCAAAATCCCCAGCTGATTAAACTGACAAAACAAAATAACAGTTTCCCAATTTGATACAGATTAAACTAATCAAACTGACTTCATTGACCCTTATATAGCTGTCAAAGGGGGGGAAAAAGAGCATGCCTCTGCTGGACTGTATATAGACATGTTTTCATCTGCTGAGCTAATCACTTCTCTATGTGACACCAAACCTCCTCCATGATCAGTGTACTGAATTTTAGACTGAGCCATATGATGATACCAGGAAAAGCAAAGCCATGCTAAATTTGTACATCTGGTTTGAAGTTTGGCTCTCCTCTAGCCCCATAATTAATCTCTTGACTATTGCAACAGTTGATATTTTTGCATCTCATGCACTGTTCTGACAAACCTGACTGCAAGATACCTTTTTTTTTAGAAACAAAGCTTGATTTGAAAACTAAGCCATTAGCCATGTCATCAGGACTTGTGCATTAAGGTTATAAACCAGCAATTAGATCGCTGGAAATAAATTGCAAAATTGTATTAATAGCTAAGCTAAATGTTAATCTTAGAAGTCCATTTTATAGGGAGTCTTGTTATGCTACTAGAATAAAAATGGCTTTGTTCAAAGTTCTTGTCCAGCTCTAAGTGTACAATGTGATTGTCTGATTGTGAAACCCCTTTCCGTGTGTGTGTGTGTGTGTGTGTGTAAGAGAAATCCATTCACACAAACTACTTGTGTGGTACCTTCCATTTACAACAAAATTACATTTGTATAGTGCCTTAAATGGAATCTTGTTGTTGTTGTTGTTTCACATCGGAAGGATGTCCCAAGGCACTGGACAGTCCAGCATATAGGAAACTTATTGAACACTTTGCCTAAGACTTGGAATCACTGGGTGACGAGGAAAAAGGGGTGGAATTTGAGAGTGGTTTGAAGATGGGGAGAGAAGGTGAAAGACAAAGGGACTTTAGAAGAGTGTTTTAGAGAGAAGGTCATAAGAGGCTGTGAATGATGGTCAGGCTTTAAAATGTTAATTCTGCCATCATCATGTTGTAGTTATTAATTGAGTTGTCCCTCAGAACAAAGTTTTTGATGTCAGTGTTTGCTGCAACATGATGGGCAAAAGTTTGAACTACAGTCTCAACTAACTACTGATTTTACAAAGTATACCATGGGAGTAGTTTTTTTTTACATTTCCTCCACTCCAAACACAAGTAAGTCATTCACATAAATATACAGTGGTATAGCAACATCAAAATTATGTTTGTATAACACCTTTCATGTGAGGAGGACATCCCAGGCACTGGACAATCAGTGTTTTGGACCTGAGCTCGGGATCGGAGAGCATGGAGGGCAGAGGTGGGGGAAGGAGGGGGATCAAAGGCATGATCGAAGAGGAGGATCTTTAGACGGGACTTGACGGAGGCAAGGGAGGGGGCAAGGCGGAGGGTGCAGGATGGAGTTCCAGAAAGTGGGGGCGGAGTGGCAGAAGGCCCGCTCCACAATGGTGGGCGGGTGAGGCAGGGGGTGTGAAGCAGGCAGGAGCCCGCTGAGCCGAGGAAGTGGGCGGGTTGGTAGGGGGTTAGGAGGTTGTAGAGATAGGGGGAGCAAGGTTATGGAGGGCTTAGAAGGTTAGGACCAGGATCTTGAACTGTATCCTCTGTGTAGTAGGAAGCCAGTGGAGTCGAGTCAGTGGAAGGGGGTCATAGGGTCGCGGGAGAGTACTGAATGATCTGCAGCCCATGGAGGGAGGAGTCGGGGAGGCCGACAAGCAGGGATTTTATGTAGCTAGGAATGTGTGTATGAGGGACTCAGCGGCCTGAGGGGTGAGGCAGTGGCAGAGCCGGGCAATGTTGTGGAGGTGGGGGGAAAACAGAGTGGGACATGGCCCGGATGTGGGATAGAAAGAATAGTTGAGGGTCAAACAAGATGCCAAGGTTCCGGACCGGCTCAGTGAAGTGGAGTGCGCATCCTTGGATGGTGATACTGTCATTTCCAGAGGTGCTGATGGGAGCCAATCAGGAGGTCCTCGGTCTTGTCGATGTTCAACTGTGGAAAGTTAGCTCTCATCTAGGACTTGATGTCTGACAGACATTCTGTCAAGACAGCTATGGACCAGAGTCGAGGCAGAGAGATAGAGTTGGGTGTCATCCGCATACATGTGGAAGTTGATATCATGTCTGCAGATGATGTCACCAAGATGAAATACGTACATGTTGGAGAGGACTGAGGACACAGCCCTGAGGAATACCCCATGACATGAGTAGCATTTTGCAACAAGGAGCCTGCAGCATTTCCTGCCCAAAGTGAATTTAGTGGTTTCGTGTTTCTTGCAACTCATAAATGGCAGAAACAAGAATGCAGCTGCAGGGGCTTGGTAACTTCTGCTCCTGGTAGATCAGAATCTGTGTTTTTCTTTTCTCTCCTCAAAACTGGAGTGTAAGGGTCAGCCTTTTAGAACAGAGTTGAGGAAACATTCCTTCACTCAGAGGGTAGTGAATTTATGGAATTCACTACCCCAGAAGGTTGTAGATGCTCAGTCCTTGAACATCTTCAAGGCTGAGACTGATAGATTTTTAAAAAATAGAGGGATTAGGGGATAGGGCAGGTAATTAGAGTTAGGTCTGAAGATCAGCCATGATCTTATCGAATGGCGGGGCAGGCTCGAGGGGCTGAATGGCCTGCTCCTAATTCTTATGTTCTTATGTAATTTGCCAGAAATACACTGGTAGCTTGCCCAAGCAGCTGTTTGTTTTTGAACTGAGACTGTGACCTGGCAGTCTATTCAGCTGTAGAGGGACATTATGGCCTTACGTACTCCTTTCATCCAACAGGCACTTTCATTTGATATTGCATCCTGTTTTAATTAATTTTTTAAAAAATAAATATTTACCTGGACTTAGCATCAAAATGAACAGTCTGGATCCAAAGAATGAAGTTCCTAACAATGCAGAAATCCTTCAGTGCTGTTCTTTTTCAATCTAGATTGTGAACTGTCACAGAGTTCAAGCCTTGTAACCTAGACAAAACCAAGCATTTGGCATATGTAGCTTTATAAAACTGGTGATATTTATAGGTCACTGTATTCTAGAAGGATGTTTCTTAAGACTAATAGTTCTATATGACATATAATTATACTGAGCAATATGAATAATATTCTATATTAGGTCATTTATTATTATAAAATCTGCAGAATTTGTACCACTGATTTTAATTTGCAAACTTGGGATGTAGCCACTGTATTTTATAATAAGTGACAAAAAATGTAGACTAGCAACTATCCGACTGTATTCATTGCCAGTTAGCTTGGTTAATTGGATTTCGGCTCTGAGTCAGACTGCTTGTGGGTTCACAGGCTTGGTTGATTGCAGTGTTAGATGAGTGCTGGGTCATCAAGAATTATTATTAAGGATTATAAATAGTTACCGTACTAAAGTCATTCATATCTAAATTACATGTCTCCATCTGATTCTTTGTTGCAGGTGTTGATAAATGTGGTCGAACGGTAGTGGTAATAGTTGGAAGGAATATTCCTATGACACTAATAGACCCGGATAAGGTAAGATTCATAGAAAGCTTTGCTTGCATTGATAGAAATCTAACTAAATTTCAGAAAGACAAAAATAGGCATTGCAATCCATCTGACTGGTTTAATTTTTAAATACTTGTTCACATTCCTCCCGATTTGCCATCAAAAGACATCCAATTCCCTCTTGAAAATGCCCACACTGTCTGTCTCCCTGGGCAAACTATTCTCTATGTTCAGCATTTGCATAAAGTAATTATTTAAATATAAAAAATGTATATATTCCATCAGAATTTGAGACCTTGATCAAATTGAATAAGGTATTTGAGTCTAGCTTGTTTATCCTTTAAATAATTGTTCCTTGAAGGAAGGGAAGCAAAATCTTTACTTATGACTGCACCATTGTACTAGTGGAGCCATCCTGATTTGTGGAATAGCTGATTCCAGTGATGGTGGAGATGATGGTTTCAGGCTGGTTTGAACCCATGTTTATTGTATAATTTCCTGCTGGAAGCAAAGCAATTACCAAGCAAGACCGAGAAGAAGGATGTGAAGTGAGCAGCTGCTCTTTGTACATCACGTTGGCTGGCACAGAGCAGAATGTAACACTAGAAAATCAGGGTAGTTTTTTTAAAAAACTAGTAGTGAAATGAAGTCCAATAATTATTACTAAACTCTATAATGTAATAAGTACAAAATACTAAATAAAATTCCATTGATAATACTCAGCTAACTCTTCCAACATGTATATCGCTATTCCAGTGGATTGACTTGTATCTCCTGTTCTCTATTACATAGCTCAAGAGGTCCTGTGGTACACTTCATAAACCTATTTCTTTGGCAACAGTTCAGTAAGGCAACATTTGATACTATAATCGTCATAGAGTAACATCTGGAAACTTGAGCATAGTTGTCCAATGAGATGTATGTGGCACTTGTGATGAATAAGGCTTTAGCTCTTGTCTCACCTGTTGGAGCACACAGTTTTATGTGTTCTTAAGTTGCCCACTTTGACCCTACATGCTAAGTGTAATTTGTTGAGTGTTTTTAGCACATCTGAAGGTTTTACTTAAAATCCAAATTTACTTTGTATTTAGATATTATGGTTCCCTGATTTGGGCTCTTAGCACGTTGTTGGTCATTTGAGTTGTAGAGTGTGACTTTCTGTGTAGATTGAGTTAAGGATATTCACTGGTCTAAGGAATGATTTAATAAAAAAGTTCCAGTAAAGCAAGCAGCATGTGGCAAAATAAGTAGTAAACTGTGTACGTTTCTTCCATTTGTCAACTACCAGGCAGGATAAAGACTCCTTGTCTATGACCATTTCAAGTTTGCACAAAAGGTGGCTCTCAAAGCCACTGAAGGCTTAAATGATAGTTCAGTTCATTTCTGGTTTGCGTGTATTTCATCGTCTGTATTCAAATTGATAATTAGGGAGTGAGGAGGACCATGCTGTCTGTAGTCTATGTTGTGATGAGCAATTGGCAGTGTTTTGCTCCATACACAGCTTTGTGCATAAAGGATGTAAATATGAAACTTGGTGGAAGTAGTTTTCAGTCTGTGCAATGAATAAACACCTAAGTGTAATTTTTCCCCTCTTATTCACTGTTACATTCTGTTTTACATAGCACTTAAGTAATATTTTTATGTATATATAATCTTTCTCTTAGGGCCTTTTCTTCCCCACACACATCCTCCATGGTTTAACATTGTGAGATTCCCAACCTGGGAAGAAAACCTGGAGTCTCCCAGTCCACCGCAGCACTGCTTCTTGCTTAGAAACATGAGGCTATGATTTGGGGCAAGTGCTTTCTTCCATTTATCATGACTTCTTGTTGTGAACAAATAATTAATTCGCTATTTGGATAATCCTGAATAATAATATCCAGCTTTTCATTTTATGACTGGTAATGTGGCAAACACTAGGCTGCCCGGCACACAGTCAACCTTTGACACTGGCCACCCTGCACATTGGCTACGTTAGCAGTTCCCTTGAAACTCAACATTCTCATCCAAACTATTTTCAAATCATGGCAAAGTGACAACCGTTTCCAAATGTCTCTTTCGTCCCTCCTTCCCTTCATCAGGAACAGAGTTTTTATAGGCCCCTGTATGAGCAAAATTATAAATATTAGGTTGCAATAAGTGGAATGTATTGATTGTTTTTTTGTTATATATTTAGGCCCTCCTCTATTTCATCCACATTATGGACCACATTGCAGTGAGGGAGTTTGTCATGGTGTACTTCCATACGCTGACGAATGACCACCATCATCCCAACTCAGAGTTCCTCAAAAGGTTATATGAAGTAGTTGATGTGAAGTAAGTCACTTGTGTCATCTATATTCTTGTATCTTAACTAATGAAATTACAGCTGATTTGTTAATATTACATATCATTGTAAGGTACTATTTGGTTAAAGGAGAAAAGATTTTTAATATGAATTGCAATGTGCATTCTGCATGCTCAACTTAAGGGATAATGATGTGAACAAATAAACCTATTTTTACTTGGTGACTGCATCAAGCATTCCCAAACTAAGTATAGTACAAGCAGAGCTCGCCTTATATTACTGACACTGTGATAACTGGCAATAATATGCTGAGACTTTCTTCCTCCCCACTCCCCCAATCTTTCCCTGACCTTGGACGAAAGCCCCAGAGTACCTTCTGCGTTGAACACAATGTTTAATATTGTTTAGTGAAATTACTGAATTTATGCCTTTTTTGTGTTTTAGTTGATGAGGAGAAAATAAAAGTGAAGCTTCATGCAAAGCATGAATTACATAATGCATGCACAGTCTCTGTAGAGCAGCACAGACTGACATGGGCAAGACCTTAAGGCAGCTGTCAACCATTCAATGAGTGTAGTGCAGTTCATCAGTGCGGTGTACATTAATGTATCAATAGGCATTGGAAGGGCAGGGATTCATCTTGAAGAGATGGAATTGATTTGAAAGGACAAGATTAGCCTATTTTAAGAAAATTACAGTGAGTATGGATGCAATACAAATTAAATTGATATAACACCTTTCACTTCAGGTGGATGTCTCAAAGCGATTGACAATCCTGACTTGGCACCTGAACTGAGGGTGGAAGCCAAGTGGGTGGGGAGAGGAGGGTGTGGAGTGAGACCTCAAAAGATGAGGGAGAGGGCGAGTCTGGGAGGAATGTAGTTCATGTGTACAAGTGGAGTCCTGTAACTCAGTGGTTAGAGCACTCGCCTCGCACCCGAGAGACCTGGGTTCAATTCCCGACAGAGCGAAATCATAGAATTGTACAGCGCAAAAAGAGGCCATTCGGCCCATCGAGTTTGTGCCGGCTCTTTGAATAGAGCAATTAATGTCAATCCCACTCCCCAGTCCTTTCCCCATAATCCTGCAAATCCGTCCTCAAATACCCGTCCACCGCGTTTTTAAAAGTAGTTATCGAATCGGCCTCCACCACCCTTTCAGGCAATGCGTTCCAGATTTGAATAACTCGCTGCATGAAAAAATTTCTTCTCACCTCCCCTCTGCTTCTTTTAGAGACTATTTTGAATCTGTGACCTCCAGTCACAGACACACCCACCAGTGGAAACAGTTTTTCCCTTTATAACCTATCAAATCCCCTATTGATTTTGAAGACCTCTATTAGGTCTCATAACTTTCTCTGCTCCAATGAGAATAATCCCAGCCTCTCTAGCCTTTCCTCATAATCGATGTCCCTCATTCCTGGTACCATCCTCGTAAATCTCCTCTGCACCCTTTCCAATGCCTTAACATCCTTCCTATAGTGTGGTGCCCAGAACTAGGCGCAGTATTCTAACTGAGGCCTAACCAGTGTTTTATATAGGTTAATCATAACCTCCTGACTCTTGTACTCTACCCTATTTATAAGCCTAGAATCCCATTTGCCCTTTTTACAGCTTTATATACCTGTCCTGCCACCTTCAAGGATTCATTTACCTGCACCCCCAGGTCTCTCTGTTCTTTTACCCCCCTTAAGATTGTATTACCAGCCTGTATTGCCTCCCCTCATTATTTCTACCAAAATGCATTACTTCGCATTTCTCAACATTGAAACTCATCTGCCATGTGTCTGCCTCTTTTACCATTCTGTTTATGTCTTCCTGCAGTTGGCTCCTATCCTTCTCACTGTTTACCACCCTATCTAACTTTGTGTCATCCGCGAACTTGGAAATGGTGCTTGCTACTACAACAACAAGATTCCATTTATAGAGCGCCTTTCATGTCGGAAGGATGTCCCAAGGCGCTGGACAGTTGGGTCAGGACCCGAGCAGGGGGGAAATGGTCAGGGTGAGGGGAGGGAAGGGAGGGAGCGAGGAGGGGGTAGAGAGTCGAGAGGGGAGCTGAAAGCACGGTCAAAGAGAAAGGTTTTGCTGTACCCAAGTCCAGATCATTTATGTATATTAAGAAGAGCAGTGGTCCTAATACCGATCTCTGGGGGACGCCACTGTACACTTCCCTCCAGTCAGAAAAGCAGCCGTTCACCACAACTCTCTGCTTTCTGTCTCCCAGCCAGTTCTGGATCCATGCTGCCACTGTCCCTTGTATACCATGGGCTTCTATCTTTCTTACAAGTCTTTCTTGTGGCACTTTGTCAAATGCCTTTTGAAAGTCCATATAAACTACATCAACTGCACTACCTTTATCCACCCTCTCCTTAACCTAATCGAAAAATTCTATTAGATTTGTTAGACAAGATTTGCCTTTAACAAATCCGTCCCGGCTGTCCCTAATTAACCTATATTCTTCTAAGTGAAGATTTATTCTGTCCCGGAATATATAGACTCCAGGAATTTCCCCACTACTGATGTTAGACTGATTGGCCTGTAGTTCCCAGGTTTGTCCTTCTGTCCCTTTTTGTACAAGGGAGTCACGTTGGCCACTCTCCAGTCCTCTGGCACCACTCCTGTGTCCAACGAAGATTGAAAAATTGTAGCCAAAGCGTCCGCTATTTGTACCCGTGCCTCCCATAGTAACCTTGGTTGCATTCCGTCCGGACCGGGCGACTTATCTACCTTCAGAGCAGTCAACCTTTTCAGTACTTCCTCTTTGTTTATACTTATCCTATCCATTTCCTCTACCCTCTCCTCCGATACTGCGGCATTTGGTGCATCCACTTCTTTTGTGAAGACAGGTGCAAAGTACTCATTCAGCACATCAGCCATGCCCTCTGCCTCCACAATAAGATTTCCCCCTTGGTCCTTAATTGGCCCCACCTGACCTTTGACTAGCCTTTTTTCCTTGATATGTTTGTAAAATATTTTAGAATTCCCGCCATCCTTTTTTCGTATAAACTTTTTGCCCCTCTTATTTCATTTTTGAAACCTCTTCTGCACTTCCTATATTCGATATGGTTGTCTTCTGTATCTTGGGTTTGACATTTGTCAAACGCCTCCTTTTTCTGCTTCATTTTAGATAGAATTACCTTTGTCATCCATGGAGGTTTGGAAGCCCTACTTTTCCCTTTTGTGCTAATGTATTTATTTTGTCCCCGAGCTATCTCATCCTTGAAGACTTCCCACTGCTCTTTAGTTGTTTTACCTGCCAATCTTTCTTTCCAGTCCACCTTGGCTAGGTCCCTTTTTAACTCACTGAAATTTGCCCTCTTCCAGTTGAATATTTTTACCTTAGATGGTTCCTTGTCTTTTTCCATATGCACTTTGAATCTAATGATGTTATGATCACTATTACCCAGATGCTCTCCCACTGAAACCTGCTCCACTTTCCTACTTCATTCCCCAGAACTAGATCTAGCACTGCTTTCTTCCTTGTTGGGCTGGAAATGTACTGATCAAGAAAGTTGTCCTGTATGCATTTTAGGAATATTTTCCCCTCCTTGCCCTTTGCGCTGTTGTTTTGCCAGTCTATGTTGGGATAATTAAAGTCCCCCATTATCACAACTCTATTGGCCTTGCGTCTGTCTGAGATCTGCTTGCAGATCTGCTCATCTATTTCCTTCCCACTGTTTGGTGGTCTATTGTATACCCCTACCAGTGTAACAGCTTTTTTTTTGTTCCTTAACTCTAACCAGATAGATTCCGTTTTGGGGCCCTCCAGCATCTCGACCCTTTCCACGGCTATAACCGTATCTTTGACTAACATTGCTACACCCCCTCCTTTTGTTCCTTCCCTATCCCTCCTGAATACATTGTAGCCAGGAATATTCAGCTCCCATTCCTGTCCTTGCTTGAGCCAAGTCTTTGTTACTGCTACTACATTGTATGTTGGGCAAGTTTCCTTACTTCACACGCCTCTGTTTATTTAGCAGTAAGTGGGAACCCGGTTGTTAGTCGATTGGCAGATTGCGTTTCCGGGGGTAATAATTCCTTAAAATAATAAATTAGTCACTTCAATCCATGACTTTGTGGGACACTGTTGTGTGCGATTGGCTGCTGCGTTTCGCCCACAAAATAAACAGTCAATTCACTTCTCAGTATATTCTGTGAAGTGCTTTGATGTATCGCGAAGGTGTAATAAAGCTTTGTATCAAATGCAAGGATAATTATTGCATTTTCAGAAGGAATAAGGTGTTGGAAAAAAGATAGCAGAGAGTTAAAGCACACACTAAACAAAAACTTGCATTTATATAGCGCCCTTCACATCCGGTAGTGTCCCAGGATGCTTAACAGTGGCGGAGTCTGACTCTGAGCCAGTGGTTGAGGGAGGGTGACTGTAAGCAGAATCAAAAAGAAGGTCTTTAGGTGGGATTTGAAAGTGGCGAGGGAGGGGACAAGGCGGAGGGTTTGCGAGAGAGTTCCAGAGCTTCTGGGCGTAGTGATTGAAAGCACGACCGCAATGGTGGAGTGGAGGAGGCGAGGGACGAACAGGAGGCCGGAGCTGGCCAAGCAGAGTCAGTGGGGGATGAGCAGGTTGGAAAGGTAGAGAGGGCATGAAGGGATTTGAAAACGAGAGATGATTTTGAAGTTGATCTGTTGATCTGAGATTGGGAGCCAGTGCAGCCTGGCAAGGACTGAAGTGATCGGGTCCAGGGTTTTGTGTGGTTAGTATCCGGCGGCACAGTTCTTAATTAATTGTATTTTATGTTTGGAACTGGGGAGACCGGCAAGAAGGGCATTTGAAAAATCCAGCTGGGAAGTGACAAAGGTGTGGACGAGGGTTTCAGCTGCTATGGATGTGAGGTACAGACGGAGGCGGGCAATGTGGCGGAGGTGGAAAAAAGTGGGCCTGGTCAGCAACACCCAGGCCTTCTGTACATCCTCCGCCCTTGCATTAATCCTTGCATTTGATATAACATGTTATCATGTCTTCTAGACTTCTCAAAGTACTCCACAGAATAAACTAAAGTGAATTGCCAATTGTGCACAGCAGTGTCCCACAAACTGTTGTCGATTGAGTGACCCATATTATTATTTATTATTTTTTCCATGTAGATGATGCTAGAGATGTCAGTAAGGGTTCTGTGTTTTTCACTGGAAAGAAAGGGTTAAGGGAGGAACGAATAGATGCCTTAAAGAAGAAGTTGGTTAGATGATGAAAGATGATTACCGCTGGTTGGTACATCATTAATTGTCAGATCTTAGGATTGTAACTAGAAGAATTGGAAGCTTTTTTTCCACACAAATGGTTATTTTAGAATATGGAATACTTTGCTATAAGTGGCTATTGAGGCTGAGACCGTAACATTTAAAAGGGGAATGGATAAACATCAAAAGAGGAACAATCTAAAAGTGGATGGGGAAAGTGCAGGGAATTGAAAATAAAAGTACTTGACTCCAGTGGATGAGTGAGCACCATCATAGACTTGAGCTGAATAACCTTCTGTACTGGAATGTCTATACTTTATGAAACAAATTGAAACGTAATCTATTCGGCCAAAAAATTAGTAATTTAGTTCTGAGGGCACTGAAAATTAGCTCCCTTGTAAATTATAATGGAGCATGGGACTGGAATTAAGTTATAGGTATGGTTCCAAATTAAGGCAGTAGCCATTCTCATTACTATTTATTGGTCATGTAGGGATTCTGCTGCCAGTTCTCATTATGAGAGCAATAAGTACAGCTTAGTGTGGGAATTAATCATTTTCTTGCATTTTGTTTTCAATTTCAATGCAAGACTATTCACATTAAGGTGCTTATGATTTATTGTACTTTTAATCTTTTTGTGGGAGAGATTGTCTGAAAAAGAGAGAACCTGGCTAAAGATGAATGGAATATAATGTATTTTTTTAACATGTGGGAACAGCCGAGTAAGAACACGTAGATTTTTTTAAAAGACTGCCCACAGTACAATTTGCAATCTACTGTACCATCAAGAAAACACTTTAGTATGACCTGATCTGTTTTGACCTTCTGTAATTTGTGATATTAACAATCATTCATAAGTGTCAATTTAATCTGATCTCTGGAGGTTGCAGAAATTTAAAAACAATGGAGGAATAGACATATTTGGAGATTCATTCTGGAAGTTGAGTCTTTAAGAGGCTTCATTATAAAGTATGACCCATTTTGAATCAGTGTTGCTTATAATTCACGTGCACGTGATGACTACCTGTACAATATCGTAATGTGTAATTGAACGAGTGTTAATGGGATTAACTGGTTTATAGCCGGTCTATCTTGTCTTGAAGGTGCTGGCCAGGCTGTTCTACCAGCTGCAAGTAATTAATTGGTTGTGTTTCTGGAGGTCCACAGCTTCAGCTTTACACTCTTGTTAGAGGTGATCAGGGACTTTGAATGGGAGTGTTTACATGAAGAGGGCAGAAAGATGTGTGGGAAAGAAAGTGGTAGTTAAATTAAAATATTCCTCTTTATTACAGGTACAAGAAAAACCTTAAAGCGTTTTATTTTGTGAACCCAACGTTTCGATCTAAGGTAAGTCTTTTTCCTCTTTCGACCCTTTTTTTCCCCCATTGCACCTTAGTCTTATCACTACAAGGTTCATAATAAGCTTGAACTAGAAAACCGCTACTGTAGAATCTTGGACTTTAGGAAATGATTTTGTTATGTCACTGAAGTTAAAAGTGGGTCAATGAGTCAAACATAATCATAAGGTCACCCTGACATAACTGAGATTAGCCTGACATGGCCAAGGCCATGACATCAAAATCAAGGGAGCTGCCAACGAAGGGAGACAGACTGCTGTCTTTCTATTTGTTTCCCCCTTCTCCCCTCCCCCCCCCCCCCATCACCAAAGAAGAATGTATCCTGGGGAAGTAAATTCAGTAGTCTTAGTGTATATATAATAAATACAAGGAATATTTAGTTTTAACCATTCCCACTTAACTGCTTGTGCTATACAATTTCACTGGCACTCATTTTCTGTTCTCCTCTCTAGGTGATGACCTGGATATTCACAACCTTTTCTGTCTCAGGGTTAAAGGACAAAGTTCACTATATTGAGAACCTTCCTCAGTTGTATGCCTTCATTTCCCCAGAACAAATTGACATTCCGCCCTTTGTGCTTGAGTGCAATGCTAGGGTAAGTGTCACTTGTTACTCTTAAGTGTTTTTCTTACAGTATTGAATTTTCTAATCTGATTTGTTCATTTTTTTTGTTCATGACTGTCAGTATTTTTCAATAACGTAAGGTTTATGATGGTTTGTCACAATTTATCTTAAGCATTTCTTTAGTACTACCAGTAATGTGCTCTAGAAAAATGAGTCCAGGTTTACAGTGGGTTAAATTCCAACTGGCCTGAAACCAGACTGTTAATAAATCTGAACTTAGAGTGAAAGTACTTGTAGATCTTCCCACCTAGGATACAGTGGCTTGTTATTCATTGACATGGAACTGTTGTAATCTTGTTGTTGTTGACTGCCTTGAGCAGCTAGAAGTACCACCCCCCACTCCAATGTGCTGATTGAAAAAAAAATTGAATCATGCCACTGAGAATAAATTTCAGGCGGCCTCCGTTGAAGGCGTAAGTGTATCAGTCATTCATGAGTATGTCTCTACACAGCAAACTAAAGAGTTTATTGTGTCGTATTTGCCCAGTTTGGAGGAGAAAAATATAAACTGAAGGAGTTGGAATAACGATCTCATATTTTTGTTTTCCCACAGGTTAATGGACCTTACCTATATTCGTACCCTTCCTCTCCTGACCTGTGAAGGAGTAGTATATGCCATTGGTTTCTATGTCTAGCTGCATGCTCCGAATAAATGTTTATATTCAGGAGGCTTTTTTCTCCATCAGAATTTATGTTCATGGATAGCAATCAATTTTTATATTGTGCGACAAAGAGCCATGCCATAAATGAAGGGCAAACTATTGTTTGTGAAAGAGACAAGTGTCTTATTTCATAATTTGTCTGTTTTCAAAATGTTCCATTCTCATTGGCCTTAGAATAAATTTCCAAGAATGGTGCTTTTAATACTGTACTCTAATAACAATAGGTCTAATAACTACTGATTCTTCAGCAGCCAAAATCTGCCACTCTATTCTCATTAAAGATCATGGGAATTTCTATAAGTTGTGAGAGTTACAACTGTTTTAAATCCTGAATCTGCACCTTATTCCACTGTGATGTAAGCTGAATGGATAATGTAAGGGATTTAACTCACTTCAGTTTATGACAATCAGTGGAACATTATTCATTTCAGTCTTGGGTGAACAGCATTATCTTGACAAATTCTCTGCTTGTANTTTTTAAATTAAGGGTCCTGTTACTTGCCAATAATTGTTTTTTTCTGAACAAGGATCTTCCAATTCGTATGCATTTTTAGAAAAATAAGCTGAGCCACATTAGACTTATGGTGATGATACATGCAGACTAACTGAAGTGCACAGACCTGTAATCTGCACTGAATTCACCATTTTCAATCTTATATAAACTGACTGGAAGTAGAGTTAGATCCAGAAGTGTGGAGTAGTCTATCTTAATTAACACAAGAGCCATATGCACTCTTCCTCACTGGTGATTCTTGTAGTGGCAAGTAAACAGTTTGATACAGTAAAATATTGGAGTCATTGTGTTACTTTTGTTGAGAAGCTTATTCCAAAGGCACTTCATCAATGAGTCAGATGATGTGACATAAAATGATGCTGTGCTTAATTAATATATGCCGTATTTAGGCTTGAATCAGCCCTCTGTTGGAGGTGGTAGTATTTCACTGGTAGAAAGGTCCATACTCAGAAGAGAGGCACTGATCCCATTTGCAGCATTCCTCGCTAGCAGTCTTTGTTTCCTGGGCTACATCTTTTGGGAGGTTTTAAATCTGTTTGGAGATTAGACCACTACTGCACTTAGTGCAGTGAATTATTGGTTCATTGTGCAAGCAGAATTATTACTCCTAAAATATTTTTATTCTATTGACAAGTAGAGGTGGAGGTACTACATATCAATTCTAGGTCTAGTTTAAAATAGTTCTAGTTAATGGTAACCAATTTTGAAGAATGTAATTCCTGTTCCTTTTTGCCACTTTTGTAGTCAAAGCTTGAAAATAAAAAAATATTAAAGTCAAATAAACATCTCTTACACCTCTACAATTGGAAAACAATAAAAATCACACAGTGGCAACCGTAATCTATGATGTACTTTTTTGTTTACATTTTAGAATCAGAATTTAAGTCTTTAATGGAATGTAACTCAAGAAACTGTTTGATTTAGAGGTGGGAGAGATTTGACTTCTTTTTGCCTTCTGATATTTTTGGTTAGAGAGGTGGGTGCTAGTTTTCTACCCTTCTATCTAAAACCAAAATATTATCATAACAATTCAGTTAGAATGCTGAACCTAATTTAATTTTCATGGTACTGGATAACTGTGCCACTTCAGCTCTGGATCCCAGGTTTAAATCTCCACTTAGTAACAGTGATGGTGAAATGTGTAAGTTATATAGATGTAGAAGAGTTTTTTTTTTGTGAGGCTGTGTTAAGGAGTTGATCTGAATCTGCCCAACCTAAATGGTTAGCCGGTTACATGCTGGAAGGTTCGCTAACTTTGATGTCGCTCACTTTTATAACCACAAAATCATAGTACAAATTTTTCTGTGGTACTTTTGTGATTTTTATGTCGTTTGTGGTTTGGTGTATTTTAGTTCTATTCAGTTGAAAAGGGTTTTCCATCGGGCTGAAGGCAAATTCACAACATGACAGCATGTCCTATATTGATTTTCACAGCTGAGCATTGCACCTATTATTGTAAGTGTTATTCAATATATTCTTGTTGTTAACTTGTTAGTGTATAAGTTTTGGAATGAATTTATATTGAGACTTGGATTTAGAAAAATGTGTTTTCCTCCTTTCTATTCTCTCCTTTTTTTCTTTCCTCCCCACCCCCTCCCATGTTCCAGACTGAAATCAGCTAACTCAATACAGACTTGGGACCTCTGTTTGTATGTTTCATCCACACATTGAATAAACAAACTGAGCCATTAAAAGAACAATTCATGTTGTATCAAACTGTGGTGTGCACTGAGGATTCGGAAGACCACTATCACTCAAGGATAGGCAAATCAACTGCAAACTCACTTTGGAACTTTAAGTTCTCTTTACCGATAAACTGAGTTACTAATTTGGTTATTAACGTCACTACTTGAGAGGGGAAATTGATGTGGATTTGTATACAATGTCAGTATCATTGCTTCATCAAGCTATTTAAAAACGTTTAACTCTGCTATTCAGAGGGCCCTTCAAAAATGGAATTGGCGTTAAATCATTTCATAGAATTGTTTTCTTGTATTAGAGTGGCATAATATGAGTCATTCATCACACTATTCTTTCAAAAGATTTGTTTTAAGAATGATCACTTCGCACCAATTCTAATTTGAGAATGTTCAGAATGGTTAACTATAGATATAAGAGAGGTCTCTTTTTGGTAATTCAAAAAATTCTATGTTTCACTTTCTTAAAAAAAAATGGTGGTTTGAAACTTTGCATTTGAGCAACCAAAGTGGTGATCACAAAATTACCAGAACTTCCACCTCAGGAACTATTGTGGAAGTGGAGAAAGGTACACAATGGAATGGTCTGGGTCAGCTTACCTGAAATATCCTTAAATATTTTAAAAATCAAGCAGCCACTTATTGAAAGACAGTTTTAACTGTAGTTTACATATAAATGAACTTGTACAGCAGATGTCACCCTGTACAGGTAAAGCATGTTCATGTAATTTATGATTAATAGAATAGTAAGATGGATCCTATGCTCTTGATTAATAGTTAGCGTCTTAAGACTAAAATGCAGCTTAAAAAGTGGTACGAGCATTGAGCAGAATTCACTATACATTATGCAGAATAATTGATTCCTCAATTTTCAATCTTGTTCTGATGAAAATCTGCTTGACATTCACTGCATTGACCAGCCAAATATTGAGGTTTATGATTAGCTGAAATGGCTTCTGTTCTCTTTTTCTCTCCCCCTGCCCTTCAGTACACTAGAATACCTTTGGTTCCATTTTTTGCCTATTTATATATAAAATATTTGCACTCTCAGTTACTTGCAAAATGCTGTGTGGCCATCATGGCATGTAGAGTCCTTCAGAATCGTCACAGTTAATGGAGCTTTGTGTCAGCCCCTCAGGGCTTTAATCTGTAACCACAAGAGATGTGAACTATGCAGAATGGTATTACCATGAATCCATTTATTGTTTTATATGAAAAAAGCCAAGAAAATCAGCCTAATTTTTAAATTCTTTGATATGTGTTTCATTCTGACTTCATCCAATCCTCTCACTAAGTCCAGTTTAATAACTGCCTATATGTTAGTTGAATATAATTTGTTAATTCTGTTTATAATTTGTATTGAAAAAAGTTCACTTTATTTGCACAGTTTTTATTTGGGACAAGTACCAATATGTTTTCAAATCTTGTCTTTAGTTCTGGCAGATTACATTTTATTTCATGTTAATAAAAGATTGCCAATCAAGTGAAACTTGTTTTATTTGTTTTGGTCACAAATGTTTGTTTTAAGTTTCAAACAAAAAGAAATACTGTTTCTAACCTGGTTTGAATCTTCTGTGTTTTTTTTAAAAAAGCAATTGTAATGTTTACAAAGAAAAACATGATCCTGAAGAAATTCTGCTCTGCTTTGACAATACTTGTATATCCAGGCTACATGTGGACCAATTTTTTTTAAAAACAACTTTTTTTTAGGTTGAAATGGCAGCGAGCTAGCCAATCTCTACAATGATAAAATGACCACTACTAGGAGTTGGAGTACAGACTAGGTTCTTTGGTTTGTGTTTTGACACTAATCGTGTTGGAGCAAGGAAGGTTGAGGGGCATTATGAAGGGCTTAAGATAATGTAAGGGTTTGAGGAAATTAATTGGCAAAACTGCTGGTAGGGGATTCAAAGACCAAAGGGCATGAAGTCAAGATTGTAACTAAGTAAAAGGAGAGGTTTGGGGAAACCTCCCAGAACTTTGTCAGGATATGGAATGAGTCGCCAGCGATGGCTAATATAGCAGAATTTATTTGGAGTATTTAAGAAAAGCAACTAGAAGGTTTGGGGGAACAGCACGGAATTAGGATGTGTGACTTCTTGGAGGATTAAACATAATAATAACTTGCATTTGATATAGCCCTTTATCATGTCTTCGAGACATCTCAAAGCACTTCACAGATTATACTGTAAAGTGAATTGACAATATTTTGTGGGTGAAATGCAGCAGCCGATCATGCATAGAGGTTTCTCACAAACACTGACCTGAAAAATAGTCTGAATGGCCTCCCTCTGTGTCGTGCATTTCTATTGTTCTATGTGTATACTGTATGACAGAACATATTCCACACAGCTCCCACATTTTTGAATTACCCATCAGTTCAAAGTTGGCTTACACAGTTATTTTGCACTACAGTGAAAATTGATAGATTTTAAAGTACCTGCTGTCCAGCTGCAAATTGTACACATTTCAATTCTCACTGGAAATTAAATTCTCAAATTGAATTTTCACAATGAATTAAATGTGGACCCTGGAACTAATTTACCTTTACTTCTGTCCACAAAGCTGATTTTGTTAATCTGCAATTGCTGCATATTCACATTTCTAACCCATTATTACTGGATGAATAACAAATCTACAGCTTGGACAGAGCCAGTTGCCAAATTATTGAGTGTATGGCAGCACTATAGTATGTGAAAAAAAATCAGACCTACAGGAATCCTATAAATTACACTCAAAACTTGGTTATATGGAAATGTATGCATATACATCAGTGACTTCCAAAATGTATTTGTGATATTTTGACTTTTATATGTATAATGCAAAATATGAGGGCTGGAATTTTATTCTATTTTAATGATGCTAATTTAAGCTTCCTCCGTGACCAACCATACAATGCTTTTGGAGGTTGTTCACTTTATACTTATAGTAGCAGATACCCTCTGGAACTCCATCCCAACATTCCCTTTGCCTTGCTCCCTCCCTTGCTTCCTTCAAGGCATGCCTTCCTCTTTGACCATGCCCTTGGCCACCCTCCTACCCTCTCTTCCCTCCACCCACAAGCGCTCGGGTCCTAATCCCTGCCTGACTGTTCAGCGCCTTGGCCTGACATACAAATGTAACTTTGTATTGTATACTCCACAAGAAAATGTGAATTTTACACTATGAGACATGTCAATTATGTGATATATATATCCTATATCAAGGATTATTATTATTTGCTTCAAACCATGTATGTGAAAATAGATGTGAAATGCATCAGATTTATGGGAACTGTGCAACTTACTTAGGCATGTAGTACATATGAGTTATTTAGTCCTATCCAGGCATAGGGTAAATTTAGTATTCAATCATTTAGTTTTTATAGGTTAGTGTTTTTAATATCCCCAATCCTGGAATTTTCTTTCTTATCTACCTAAGTACAGTAATAACAATAATCCTTGCACTTGATATAACACTTTTCACGTCTTTGAGACGTCTCGAAGCGCTTCACAGAATATACTGCAAAAGTGAATTGACTGTATATTTGTGGGCAAAAAGCGGCAGCCAATTGCGCACAGCACTGTCCCACAAACAGTCATGGATTAAGTGACCAAATTATTATTCATTTTTTTTCTTGAGGGATAATCATTAGGCTCGATTCCCGGTAGAGGCGAAACCTTGGGCAACAGTAGTAGCCACATATTTGAAATGGTGATAATGTAACAGTAGGTGGCGCAAAGCACAACTTGACTTTTGCCATCTTGCTAAGTCTTTCAATTGCTGAACTTTCTCCGTACGATTCACACACTATTTGTGGACTGATCCATTGGAACGTTGTAAATCTTTGGCAGTTCCAAGTCATAGCGAAATAATGGCATTAAAACAGAAATGGACAAGTAACTTAATGTTTTAAAAGGGCACAAAAAACAGGGTTTTCAAATAGTTTTTTTTTTGGGGGGGTGGGAGAGAGGGGTTCAGACAGCTATTAATAGTCTGCAATCTTAGCAGTTTGTGCTGTGATAAGCAGGTGGATACCAACTTTGCATTGTATAGGGTATTGATTTGTTTTATTTGGTGTGTATGTGTGTAGGGGGAGACCAGTGACCTGAACAAATTCCACGAGGTGGGCCAAACACAGAGCAAATCCTTCAGGCTGAAATTTTAACCTGGTGTTTAAACAGTTGTGTGTTTGGGGTGGGTGTGGAGAGAGAACCAAACAGAAAAAAACTGGCAAATCACAAAGTACAATACATAACACTGATAACAGGGACAGAAGATGAATGACATCCATGACTCTTTGTGGGGCACTGCTGTATGCAATTGCCCGACTTGTTTCAACCACAAAATACACAGTCAAACCACTGTCAAGTGCGTTGAGACATCTCACGCAGTGTTTCACTTCTTTTATACACAAATATAAAAAAAAACCCTGTAAAAGCCCGTTTGACGTAGCTTCGTCTCAAGACTCTCTTTACGCTCAAATGGTCTTCTTATGAGGAAACCGTGCAAAGGCCGGGAATGAAAGGGAATCATTTCTTGGGGGGTGGGATCTGAAGGGAGGGGGGAAGGGGAGGGGAAGAAGAGGGGAAACCCCTAGGAATGACAGATCAAACGAGTGCATTAGACAGGAGGTGGAGGATGATGCTGTGCTGAGTGCTCAACGCTGCATTGAGTTGGTTGCATGATATCTCCCCAACACACACACACACACAAATAATGTTAATGAGCCGCTGTTCTGCAGCACTGACTGCAGAGGGGGTGTTCTGACCAGCCTCAGACTGTGCTGGTGGCTTCCAGCCCACAAAAGTCTGACGAAAAAAACATCTCCATGGAGACAAGACCACGTACGGATTCACCAGCGAGGATTGGAGCCCAGATCCCATTTATACAGACTGACCCAGAGAGAGAGAGAGAGAGAGACAGACACAGATCACATTCATAGGTTGGACCAGGAAAGAGCTGGAGCTCAAAAGTCACTTGAACAGAAGACATTTGTGCATAGCATCAAGAACTTCACTCAAGACTGAATCCAGGGCATTTTATATATATATATCTAACAAAAAAAAACAGGACATCATGTTCTATTTCACTTGGAAAGGCTTACCAGTGACTTTCTGAAAATAAACCAAACAGTCTGGTCAGGAATTTGAGTGCACTATTTTCAGGGGTGAGTAATTTCTCTGTGTTGTGTTACTGTCCTGTTTCGGTGCAGTCAACACTTCCAACAGCAATAAGTTGAATCAGCAGCGACTATTTTTAAGTGCTGGCAGATACGAAGTCATAACGCTTTAATGTCTACATATATAGAGAAGCTATATATAATGTCTATGTTTAAATAAAGGCACAGCGATTTGTAACTTCCTTTTAGAACTGCTCTCTGGGTTCTGTTGAACTCCACTCTGGGGGGAAAAACAAGTCGGTGCTGTCTTGACGTGAACTTCGCTGTTTGTGTTCACAGCCCCGGTTTCCACTTCGCGGATTGTATCAGCAATAGTGACTTTAACAAACCGAACAGTAATGGTGAACCGCTTTATTGCTCATTGTAAACCGTGACACCAGTGGGGCAGAGATAGGGGGACAGACGGACAGACAGTACAGTACAGTACAGACAGAGAGACAGACAGTACGACAGACAGAGACAGACAGACAGTACAGACAGACATACAATACAGACAGAGACAGACAGACACAGATCGACAGTACAGACAGACAGTACAGACAGAGACAGTACAGACATACAGTACAGACAGAGACAGACAGACAGTACAGACACAGATAGACAGTACACACAGAGACAGACAGACAGTACAGACACAGATAGACAGAACAGACAGAGACAGACAGACAGTACAGACATACAGTACAGAGACAGACAGTACAGACAGACGTACAGTACAGACAGACATACAGTACAGACAGAGACAGACAGTACAGACACAGACATACAGTACAGACACAGACAGTACAGACACAGATAGACAGTACAGACAGGCAGTACAGTACAGAGACAGACAGTACAGACAGAGACAGACAGACCCACACTGAAGAGTTCAGGGGGTGAAAGTGACTGAGTTAGAATCCAAACTTATTGAGAGTGTCATTTCACTTTGTCCATTGCAGTCCATTGATTGTGTGAGTGAGTGAGTGAGTGAGTTGAGTGAGTGCTGAAGTGAGACGAGATCGGTTCAAACCTACTGCCGGATAAAGGGGAGGTGATGAAACAATATAGTTAGAAAGCAGCCAACAACGTGCTCTTTATAAAGGTCGAAAGCAAACATGCACCATAGGGGCAACCGACTGAATACCTTAAGAGAAACATTTCAACCGAGTGCGCGCATTGCAGGGAGATAAGAAAGCGAGAGAGTGTTTTTTTGGGGGGGAGTGGGTTTAACATATTTGGTCTCGTAATCCGTCTTTTTTTTAAAAAATGCAGTGACCAAATGAGAGAGAGAAAGTTCAAGAATCTTCTGATCATTTGCATTACAGGGAATGAATGCATTACCACAAGGAATTTTTTTTAAAGAAAAAAAGGGGATCCCAATGTGCACTTTTCAGTGCAAATGACCCTTTGAGGAATGGAAAGATTTTGCACCTTAGAGCGTTCTTCAAAAGTGTAATAATAAATGTTCTGGACGAAAATGATAGGGTGTGTGTGTGTGGGGGGGGGGGGGGAGAGAGAGAGAGAGGATTGAGAATAACTTGACTGGGTCTATACATGGCAAAGGCACACATACAGGGCAGACCCATTAGTGATTTATGTGTGTTCCTGGAGCTGTCATTTACTGAAATCTATCATTATTATGTGCAAAAGTGCCACAAACTCGTGTGGAAACGTTGTGACATTTGCAATCTCATGATATTTGATTCATATGCAGTTCTCTGGAGTGGAAGAGGCGTTGTAGTGTTTTTTATATATATATATAAATATATATAATGGCTTTGGGGGATGTCTAAAAAAAAATCGAAGCTAAAACCCCATACATTTCGGTGGGATATACATACGACCGCCCTACAAAAAGGGACAACGCGTTTATAGGGACGAAAGGATAAGTTAACAGAAGAAGTTTGAGCAGCCGCTTGGAAATGGATTAAATATCCAGGAGATCTGAGTGGCGGAGGCTGAGGGGTAGTGTAAGAAACAACTTGTTTTCTCCCCCAACAACAGGATTTGCAAGGATTTGCAGGCAGCTCTCCTTCACACACACACTCACTCACACTCACTCACACACACTCACTTCCCCTCGGATCACAGACACAGAATAACATCAGCAGCAGATAGATTAGAGAGACAGATAGACAGAGAGAGAGAGGATGGATAGATAGAGAGAGAGAGAGAGAGAGAGAGAAAGAGACAGACTTCTCCACTGCAATAGAATAGATAAAATAGGATCCTATTAAAGATTGCAACTTTGACGGCTGTTAAGAGTAGCTTTTTTTTTAAAAAAAGAAAGGCAGGAGTGTGTGTGTGTGTGTGAGAGAGAGAGAGAGAGAGAGAGGGAGTATGTGTGAAAGTTGCCTTTGGTGCGGGAATTAACTGTTAGGCTTTGACTAGAAGTTGACAAATTGTCTTACAAATGAAAAATGCAATTCGCAGAATGCGTCCCCAAAGAACTCGAGTTGTAAAAATGTTATGTTGTTATAATGTGTTATGTATTTTACGGTTCCGGTGGGAATAAGTACAACATTAATCGTTTCTGACGAGTGTGTGTGTGTGTGTGGGGGGGGGGGGGGGGGGGTGGGGGGGGGGGGGTATTACTCTAGGGCTCTGCTGATGACAGACCAGCGATTTGGCTTATCAGCAGGATTTGGAGGGTTAGACCACTGTGTACACCTGTTAATCCTGCAAACCAAAGTCCTAATGGTTAGGGTGGTCTTAGCAGGGCAAGAGTGGGAAGTTTGCCAGGCGGTGCTCTCAGTGGCAAGCTATGTGGTTTTAGCCAGTTTTAGACAGTTGGGTCCAGCAGTACCCAAACCACAAACTGGTGGCCCGAAGCCTTAACGCTTGCCGACCTGCGCCTAATGCTATCCAGAAATATGTAAGCAGGATGCATCCCTCCTAGGAGAGAGTGAGTATTTCATTTCAGGCATGGAGACATTTCCACGTGTTGGTGGCATCCATATGTAAAGCTCTCAGCCTGGTTTGAATACTCTTAGGAGCTGGTGATGGCTGATGGGTTTCCATGTGTCAGACACCTGGCTGATCAGTTCGCTTTGTGAATACATATTCTTGTTTCTCTTCTGAGCGCTCAGTTACTTTTCTGTATGTGTATCCTCTTTTTTTCTCGTTTCCTGAGAACAATTGAAAGCACGATCCTTTCCTCCTCTTCGTCTTCCTACACAGCCCTTTGCCTTTTATTGACTCCATCACTCTTGCTCTCACACCATTTTGCACCGTTTAAAATCAGAACAAAACTATTTTATACTTTATACTATACTATACTCTATACTTTAAACTTTATTTTAAGACTGCTGTTAAATTATTTTTAATCATCCTATTAATCCTTATGTTTCAAAAGAACTGCCAACTATCGCTTTCTTAATGACTTTTAAGGCAAATGAGTCTCCACATAAAGATTTGGAGCTTTTATATTTTACAGTACTGTTCTTCTTTCTCTCATTACTCATTACTTATTACTCATGACTCATTACAGAGTCTCAAAGTGCTTCACAGAATACATTGTCAAGTGGATTGACTGTGTATTTTGTGGGCGAAATAAAGCTAACTTTAAATCTTCATCAGTTTCAACTAATGATTCCAGAAGTAAAAGCAATTGATACGCAAATCATTGTGAGAAAATACAGGGAACCCCCTCAAAATGTTAACAGAACAGATTCCGATAGTACAGTGGTTAACGCACTTGCCACATACGCAGGAGGAGCTGGATTTGATTCCCGGGTAGGGTGAAACCTTGGGCAAGTCTCCTTACTCCACACTCCTCTGTTTAACTAGCAGTAAGTAGGGACCCGGTTGGCTAGGGATAATAATCCCTTAAAAAAAATTATAATTTGGTCACTCAATCAACAACTGTGTGTCGGACACTGCTGTGTGGAATTGGCTGCTGCATTTCAGTCACTATACAGTCAATTCACTTTACAGTATATTCTGTGAAGGGCTTTGAGGCGTCTCAATGACATGACAAGGCTCTGTATCAAAAGCAAGGATTATTATGATATATATTGTTATTACTCTTGCTTTCACATCCTTGTATCCTGAATTTAGGGAGATTAATTTAAAAATGCCATTGTGTCTGTCTCAAATAGCAGGTCCTTTAATCAGCCTTGCTGGAAATAGCTCTTTTCGAAAGCCCGGATATCCGGGGATCTTATTAAAATACAGGAAAAGTAATGTCAATCCTGACATTTTGGGGTCGAGTTTTATTATTTTGTTTTGAACCGTTGCCAACTTTCGTTGCACATGAGATCCCAGCTGCTGAGTAAATTGCTCCCATGCCCTGTCATACCCAGTTATTATTCTAAAAAAAGGAGACATCATTTCATACCATCCCCAAATTCCCTACTTCTTTTGGTTACTTTTACCCCAGTCACACTTATTGAGCCCGTCTTCGTTTGGCCACATTAACTGTTTGTCCCCCTCATTCACACCCCAAAACCCTTTACTTCCTCTGCCATTTGTTATCTCCCCCCCTCCCCCCAATCATTCACTCTTCTCATCCTCCTTAAGCCTGTGTTGGTCTACACAGCTCTTTTCAATTTATTGACCCCAACACTTTTGCACTCACACCATTGTGTTCTGCCCTCTACCCCCTCCCTCAAGCCTCTCTGCCTGCTTCAGGGTGGTCCCATCTCTCCCCAGGTGTATCTATCTATACTTCCTCTAGCCAGTCGAACCAATCCTGTCCTCAGCACATTAAACATTTTAGTCTAGGCTGCACTAAAAGCCAGTCCAGCAGTGACTTCATGGTTTACCCCAAATCAGAGGTGGGAGCAGAGAGAACAAGCATGAGTTTGTAATCTGCTACTGTGAATTATTATATCTGAACCATCTCGCTCAGCTGAACAGCTCAGTGGTGTGGGATCGCATAAATACAGTGATAAGCAGGCAACTCAAACAAAAACTGGCTGGGCCAGTGAGAAAGTAGTCTGGTGGCAGCCCAACAATAGCTGTTTACAGCTGGATCTAACATTGAATTAAGGTCTTGAAAAATG